ACATTAATAACAACGCGACGAAGGAACAAAAAATTCGTAGAAATGCGAGCAACTTCGGAAGGATCGGTATATCGCTGGCAGAAGGGCATTTTCGAGAACTATCGAGCCGTCTGCGAAGGAAGAATATCCGGATTCTGGATGTACTACTTTGTCAAGGTTCTGGAACAAGGCAAAGATCCCAGACGGATCAAATTCCTACGGAGGAAGTGTTTGAACAGGACGCCTATACAACCCTCTAGGTCCATTGCTAATAGCTGTGCACCCTGGATCGAAAACAGCGACGTGCTCGCGTAATGTTCGCACACAGATACCCCAGGCCGTCACCGCCGTCGAGTATTAATGCGATAACTAACAATAACAAGGTTCAGCCCTCTCTAGTGGGCCTTGCAACGTGGTGTACACCGCGCCGCAAACTCGTGTCTATACGTGAGTCCATGTATTTTCGTGATTCCGCGATGCCTCCGGCTCCGAGGCTTCCTTTATAGGTCGGACACGACGCACTGAGAACTTTGATCGTCGTGTTACACTGTGGCAAACCACCGATACAGTCGAGGCTGGATAATCCCTTTTCAAGTAGGGACCGAAGGGTACTTTACCTTCGGGCAGGTTTGCCCTCGTTCAACAATCCCTTCTCCACGTTCTTTCTCGCCTTAGGACACCAGAAACACTGTTTCACCACGGGATTTCCCTTCTCATTACAGTAATAGACCGAACACGGATTTCGTTATTTCACCGTACCGAAAGTATAATACCATTGTGCCGTTTCGTCGCTTCGATCGTTACTGTCGGTTAAATAACAAACGAACACAGAGATTTACGTCACAAAATTCTTGCGATTTACGTTACGCGTTCGAAATGTTAGAAGATTTTTGAAAAATTTCAAAATGCGACAATTTTTGCATTCAAACTTGCATCGTTTTCAATAATAAGTTTTACGAATGATCTCTACTCTAATTTACACTTAGCACGAAATCATTTTTGGAAAAGCGTTTGACATTAAGAGCGAAGGGAGAATGTCTTGAATTAATTGTATTGCTCGATATTAGCGTAACTGAACGTCACTCTCGACAATCCCTCTGATTGTGAGATACGCTTTCTCGCCGTGGGCCAAGAAATATACGACACTTTCGCGAGATTTCTGTTCTTCTTGTTGCTATAACGAATAAAACGCGATGTTTTATCTTTTCGACAGAATTTTCCAACCCGCGGGTTATCTAAAAATAAAATCTGCTAGCAAGAACCGCGGGGGAATTTCCTCGTGGTAATTTCAAATTTACCGGAGGTTTATCGCAGCGAAACTTACTAACGATAGCAAGTGTCAAAGTTTCGCCAGCAAGGACGAACAAAATCGCCGGGGATTTTTCGTAATAAATTTATTAATTCTTCGTTCCTTCGTTCCGTGCTTCCACGGGAGAAAAAAAAAAACTTTCGTCCTTATTGTCCGACAGAATCGTACGACGGCGGGAAACTTCTGATCCGCGCGTGCGTTCACGAAGCGAATTCCTGCGCACGAAGGGATCTCGTGCACGCACGCTATCAGTCTTCAAGGAGAAACCTCCCTTTGACGGGGGCTTAAACGACGGCCAGGAGAACCTTTGATCGCGTTACACTTTCGGCTAACCATCGTCACGATAAAGACGAAATAACAGAAGAAGGATAATCCTTTTTCTCTCCCCGAGAAGAGATTCGGAGAGTCCCGGGAGTCGAAATCTCACCTCGAGGCAGGCAGGTGCTGCACGAACGCGGAACACCCTTTTTTCAGCATTCTTCTAGGGAATACGAGGTCTCGGTGACATTGTTGACCCTCTGCCACATGGCGTTTCGCATATGGCGCACGTTCTGTTATTTTTATACAGTTCTCGTTTGATGAAATTCAGCACGCAGCGAAGATGGGTATCACGATGACAGATTGGAGGCTGGAGCCGCGAAAGATTACAGCTGCGTACGATTACCGGGTAGATACCGAAGATGTTGTTCGACACGTGCACGATATAGTAGATTGTAATTCTTTAAAACAGACGCTGTCAGATCGAAAATGAGAACCAGAAGAATATAGGAAGCTTAATAGAGCGAAGGAAACGTTGGATTACTTCGAAATATTAATTAAATATATCTCCTGTTCCCCAACATCCCCAACATTTTTCTTTTATTCCGTGATCTATTCAATGGTACGTGCATAACGTTCAAAATGCATCCATTTAGAGATTAAAATAGACGATCCGTTTAGATTCGATGCAAATTTCATTACGTATACCAACTACGATTTCTGATGTATTCGCGTTGTTTCCTTACGTTGTTCGGTAACTGCAGAAGGATTAATAGGCGATGACTAGCGTAAAGTCAATCATGTGAAGTCTCGCGTGAAGTGCGCTCCGTTCATGAAAATCGTGGCAGTTTAATCAGAAAACTGTAGGGAACAGGACTCACGTAAGTACCCTCCATCGTTGGAATGTAGGGGCATTTAAGTAGATGGAGGGTATAGACCCCTGTCTACTCCATTTACTTTCAGCCCGAGGGACCTTCCCGATATATATCCCAATATTCCTGGTAACAATGATGAATCACTGCAGAGCACCTCTTGCGCAAGAAGTTGCACATCCACTGCGCTTGTAACGTCTCTTTGCCCCCCCCTCTCTCTCTCTCTCTCTCTCTCTGCATCTCTTTTTTCCTATGTCTTCTAATGTGTCTCTTTCTCTCTCTCTTCCTCTCTCTATCTTCTCGATTCTGGTTTCATCTGTATCCTCTTCCTCTTTCTCTGGTCTCTTCATGATTCTCTCAAATACTCATGGACCTGCTTTAACCGTAATAATGCGTTCCAGTGCCCGGCGCGGTTACGTAAAGCCTGATGTAATAGTCGGATAAATAAGTGCATCCCATTCCCAACATTAATGCTTACTTTGAAAACTTTCGTGCATTTGCTTTCGTAACGAAAAAGGGGACGATACTCGTTGAAAAATACAACAGACAATTTCGAGGGAACTGCGAGATTGCATTTCGAGATGCCTCCAGAACGATGTACTCGAGATACATAAGATGTATTCGAGATGGATCTTTCAAATATTCATTCTAATGAATTTAATCAACATTAAGTGATACATTAACCACTTATCACAAGGAACGAGAAATTAAAAACCAATAATTCCTACGGATACTGCACAACAATGCAGTAATAAAATACGATAATAGCTGAATAAAATGAAATTCGAAAAATATAGGGTTAAAATATTATTTAACTCGTTTCATTCAACAAATTGCTAAATGATTTCAAGCTACTCGAATTTCCGTCTCGTAACAACACGTAATTAACACACGTTATAGACGGATATTCGACGAGATAATTAATAACGCAGCTAACTATGTACACATTTGGTATCAACGAAAATTGACGATCATCTATAACAGCCAGAGTGCAAAATAGCATCGAGTGTTTTAATCTATCTGCCTCCTCGCCACGTAAAACGCCGCGGGTGTGTATAATACATGACAAATCGTCCTTCCCACGTTTGCTAACCAACGTAATTGCATACATGTAGCGTCAAGCAACAATATACATATATACATTTCTTGCACGAAACAACTTTTTAAAGCTGCGTTTCGTTAAATCTTTATCCAGTCGCTAACCAGCTCATTTCATAATGCGTACGCGAGAAGAACAGAGACGACGAATGAAAGAAGAACGCGATTATTTATTGGCACGATAAATCAGCAGCTGAAACGCGTTCACTGCGACCAATTAGCGTTGGATGTTAAGATCGTTGGGTCAGAACCCATGTAATAATGACGAATCAGTTCAGAGCCGGTCTGGTGGCACGGCTGACTGCCTCTTATTAATAAATTCGCTTCCCATGCGACGTCCTATGAATCATTCGATAGGCAACAGGGGAGATTCTATTAGACTGATTGGTTTATGCCTCTATGGTTCAACTCGTGCCTATTCGTCTTCGTTCTTAGGACCAACAAACACATTTCTGCCTGGTTATTCCTCCTCTATATCGGAACCAGCCACGAATATCCAAGTAGACAGCCAGTATTTGCTTAAAGCATGACACCGCTTTATAGTCGTGCGTAGGAAAACAATATATGCTCGCCTTTCTCTCTGGTATCGACGAAAAGAAAAAAAGTGGAGACACTGAGACGCACTGCATGGAACATTGATAAACGTGTTTTCACGGGTTAATAAAAACCAACGAGGGGATAAACTATCTCCTTTGAAATCGAACTCCAGCGAAAACAATATCGTATCTATCATCCAGTATTTTCAACACTGAAATTTATAATTGAATGTTATTTAATAGGTCTATTTTTGCGAAAGAAGAAATCTAAAAATTTGATGCTTTCTTACTAAAAATAATTGATTCCATATTTTGATGAAGTTTTTTTTAAAAAAAAAAAAGATTAGAGTCAATAACCAAAATTGGTATAAAAACCTTTATATAAATCCACACAAAGATGCTTAAGTGTTCAATGATACCAGCCATCATTTGATCCCCGTTCGACCTACTTTGAAACTCGAGCACATTAATTCCAAAAACATTCACCATCGAGAAAAAAGAGAAAGGACTCCACAGGTCCGCTTTGTTTAACGTTCGTTGGCTAAAAACTTGTGATGTAAGTGCAGTCTACCTTACATTAAATCATACTCCATTTTGGGATTAACTCCCCTAATTTATTGACTTCGTTTCTAACTGGGGAGCCTGAAATCCCCATGACTCGGAGGTAACATTGTTTTGCAGGGGCAAAACTCTTATAGGAATATGCTAAATCATCATGCGGTTCAACCTCGAATAATATATACATACCGCATGTTTATAATCATCGCTGACAAGATACTTTATGCATATTCGTTACGGCGGGAATAATTGATGAATTGCTCTCTCGATGAGAGATAATTGAGAATACATGTCTTACAACACGTTTCCAGGATGAACAACATTACATTGAATATCTATACTACGTTGTATTAAAGTAAACATGTAAAAATGTATGTGCATGTGACTTACGTACAACATTCTCTCACAAAGCAGCTTCAAGGTTAAAGATTTCTTTGTTCAAACTACGGACATTGGGATGCACGAAGCTCCATCGTTTATTGCGTCTATTTCTCAAACTTTATCTGTCGAAAATTAATTATTTATGAATAATGAGAATTTTCTTAATAAAGAACAGAATTTATCATACGATTTACACGTATTTTTAATGATATTAATTGTAGTTTGTTACAGATATAGGTTACGATTTGAAATTATGATTTAGCAATAAAACGAATTCGAGATTACACTTTGCAATAGGTACATATGTAAGTTTAAACAATAATGTAATTTAAGTGTTAAATCTAATTCACTTACGTATAACGAAGGAAGTAAACGTTTTTTCTTCGATTAACAATTCTCTTCTTAACACAAAAATATAATTGAAATGAAAAGTTAAGAGCTCACGCAAGCAAACGCACAAGTATAACTGCGACTGATTCGTGTGACCGTAGTTCAAGGTGCTGCCACCTGTTGGGGAAATGCTGAAAGTATAAAAGTTAGAATTTATATCTGTAAATAGCGGTAAAACGAGCTTGAATTGTATACTGTAACATGTAAATTTCGAAATTGATAATACGTAAATTCTAATTCTAAATGTTAATTCTAATTTACTTACATCTAACAAACAAACAGATGTTTCTTTTCTGATTAATTACGCAACTTAACACAAAAATATGATTAAAATGAAAACGAGAAAGCATACACAAGCGAGCCATGCTTACAATTCCGACTAATTCGTGTGACCGTAATTGTAAGTATCGCCACCTACTAGAAAAACGTTAAATCTTTGCACCCTCTATATTCCTTTCAAATTTTAGCGGGACAAGTTATTAAAGCTAATAAATTTTCTGTGTTAATAAATTAGCAGATTTAATAAAGAGTAAAAACCAAATAAGAAAATCTATAACTTATTACAAATGTGCACATGCTTCGAAGTCTGTATTATAGTATACTTAGAAAATTATTAAATTAATAATAGAAACTCATGAAATTAGAAAAGTAACACCTCAAAAATATATTAATAAAAATACTTCTTATTTGTGTATGTAGAAATTTAGAGAAGGCAGTTATATAGACATATTATATTTTAAAGTGTAATTTTATTCGTATGCGAACAAAAATGATCCATTGAGATATGTCACTGGCATCATTTAGAGTATAATATACACGTACATTTATATAATTCCACTGTCGTCCATTACACGATATAAAAACTGTTACACCATTGCAATAAATAGAATTGAGTTTTTTATCTCTCATCATTGAATTTCGAAGCAAGCACGCCCTTATATACAAAATATTTTTCATATTATTAATATTAAATATATTTGAAGAGACATGAGTATGAAAATTTCAAGTAAAATCATTTATGAAATTTTTTTTAAAATATGTATATACTTGAAATTTGTTCATTCTCGATAATTTTAAGTCCCTGCGAAAGGGGTTTAGCTGTCCATGTAAAAATTTCATGACAGTCCCTTTACACACTGACACAACTAGCTACAAGTTTTACATCATTATCGATGTGCACGTTTCACAAAATAAATACCGAGTTCGATTTTTTACAAAATATATATTAGGATATCGCACTTAAGGTAAATGTACATGATAAAACGCGTAAAAAATATACAATGAGTTCCTCTATCAAGAGGCACTAACGACAAGGAACACAGAAGTGTCGCATATAGATCATACGTAATTGTTCGTTCATTCATATCCAATTTCGCACTCAGAAAATTCTTTTTTTTTATCATATCACTTGTTAGGCATTTAATCTTAATTTCTGTTAGACAAAGAAATTAAGAATATAAGATACGTGTAGGTATAACGATAACGATACTTTTCAATACAATATTTTCGATACGATCACATATGTCCAGTTCCAATATTTGTCTACTAATCAAATTTAATTATAATATTTGACAAAATGATCGTTTGTTTCGTTGAACCACTTTTTTTTAATACTGATAAATTACAGTAAAGTTGTACACATTTAAAATGATACTTAACAAGTTAGTGTTTCTTTACTTTTGACGTTATTGAGATAATAAATATAATATGTGAAATATTAAAGATATGATTCTTCATAAAAGTTTAATATTTACATAACATTTATAGATACACCCACATGTATCTCAATATATTTCATAAAGCTTACAACACATTTACATACACTCAGTTTTTATATTTAAGCTAATTTAACTAATTGGTCCTATAATTATAACTAGATTATAGGACGTGTAATTAAGGAGGCGTGAAGTAACAAGATTCTCTAAAGAAAATATATTTCAATAACCACCTAAAACTATCGTGATAATTGAAAAAAAAAGGAGAGACACGACAGTACAACATGTATACAGAGAATAATTCTTTTGTTTTCTATTAGTGCAACCATTAAGCGGTTGGTACGTCACTATATACTTGTAGAAATGGAAACACACATTTGTGTGTTGTATTGCACGTTAATTTATGAAAGAAAGAGAGAAAATCGTAAAATACTAAGAATACAAACATATTTTATACATATACTCAATGTATTATAAATTTATTACTGATTTAATAATTCAAAATATCGAATAATTATAGCATTGATGATATTAAAGGAACAAAAATTTGAGAGAAACAGATCTTAAGTCATGATTTTCGGGAAAAGGTAGGTAAACATAATTATATATCATTCATGTATTTTAAAAAGACTATTTTTTTATCGATGAGCATCATAAATAGAATTTATCGATTATTACACGTAAATGTGGTTGGGTCCACGGTTGAGATGTGTTCCACTACATATATAAAAAGCAAATTACTGTAATATAATTATACTCATTTTCGTATAGTTTCATATTATTTTTTTATTCCCCAATCTGTGCTTATATTTATAATTGTATTTAATAATGTAAATATCTATTAGCGAACGCTAAACCGTTGAGTGATCAATTAATCTGAATAGTGGATGGAATAAGAGTATTGTCAATTAAAAATTAGAATATCACTGGTTTCTAAGAGATTTTTTATTTATATTTCATTTTCCACTATTCTGCGTATTCTGAGTTGTTCATTGAAATTTTCTTTTATAAAAAAAGATGAAAAAAAGCTGAAATCTATTCAGATAATATAATTTTATAATGTTTTATATTATCATCAGCTACCATATATTATCACTATATTATCGTTAGTTGTCACATATTTTGGATGTTATTACATATTTTCAGATAATTGTATAATGTTCATGATCTATCTAAAGCGTTAAGCCATGCTATAAGCAAAGTTATTGCAATGTGCTTGTATTTGGAAATGTCTATATAATGAAATATAATCATTTGTTTAACACTAACATTAGCTATATAATATTTTGCATTCTATTTTCAGTATATTATTAGTATTAGAATTCAAACAAAAAGTATAACACAAATAAAAAAATTATTTTATAAACAAAACATTATATAACAAGCACATACAATAAGCTTACAATAGCTAAGTTGTAAAAAAATATGTTTTTGAAATTCGTTTATGATGAAGCTTAATAATTAGAAAAATTATAAACTCTTAAGTTTGAATATATTCCTCTTACCATAAAGGTCACTTAAAATTTTGTATCATATAAGACTATGGCAAATAATATATTTACTAAAATAAATAAATATTCGAATTATTTAAGTTAATATTAATATTGCAACATTCTATTTACCATATTTTTTTGCTTCACAATAAAACTTAATTTTTGCTTCATCATTCATTTTTACATTTATAAATAAATAACATAATAAAACAATTCATATAATTACAATAATAAACAAAACAAAATTTTATGAATAAAATAATTCTAAATAGATATTACTGATCGTTATGATTAATTCTTGAAATATTATTCTTAAATAGATAAAATCTGTGATATAATTTTATGCCTGATATTATTTATATTCAGAGATTGTTCAATCCATCATATAGTTCATATCACTTCTAAAGTTAATGTTTATTCGTTACTATGTCAAAAATTCATTATTTATAATGAGTTAATTTGCTATTATTATGAAAGTATAGTGAAATTGAATCTCTTGATTCATATATGATGGACAATTGTCTTATATTGAGTATCATAAAGCTTAGAAAATGTATTAATATAATATCATATATCTAAAAAAAATCATATATCTGAAAAAAATATCTTAATTATTTATTTACTTTTCAACAGTTGTATTTGCACCAGTCAGTTTTTGAATTCAAGATAAATTAAAATTAACTGTATATTTTTTAAATATATATATATTATGTGGCACATAATTTTATTATTTATGTTATATTTATTAATGCATTTATTATTAATATAATAAGCATTCAGGCATTTTCAAATAATATTTTACTTATTTATAATAATATAAGAGTATGCAATATTTTGCTTGATCATGAGAAGTATATCAGAGTATTTTCTAAGATATATATTGCAGTTGAGATCTAGTATCTGAGATAGATACTTCAAAATATTCAAATTATAGTGCAATGATATATATCATAGCTAGGTCTGCCATTTGTCTGGATTTCTCCGGATTTATCCGATTTTTAGGTATTGCATTCGTATCAGATGCATTAGAAACAATCTAGATCCAAACGCAGTACAGTCCGAATGAGTGCAGTCCTGTGCATATTCATGGCAACGTGCAATATTGAAATTCTAATATTTAAAGCACAAAAAATGCTCAAAAGTGTCCGGATTTCAGGAGTAAATGTTCGAGTTGTTAGTGCGCTTTGTCCTATATTGTGATTCTGTGAAATGGCAGCCCTAATCATAGCATACTTTCATATATATATCACTATTTATAAATAATACGTAATAATGAAATAAGATAAAAGTATGAAATAGATATATGAATTTCGTTCTCTAATAAAATAAAAACATTGCAAATATAAAAAATAAGTTATGCTCAAACGTTAATAATTTTGTTTTTTTAAATTTCATTAAAGTACTTTAAAAATTATATATATTAATTCTTTGTTTTAAAATATAAAATATATATATACATACATATATATATATATATATATATTTATCAAATTTATGTCCAATTTTGTTAATATTTCATTTTTTTCTTTCTTTTCATTCATAGCAGAATACATTCATATGTTTTGTTTATTACACAATTAACTTATTAAAATATGTTTATAATTTTATGGGAAGCTCTTGCTTTCTTTATGTTTTAAATGGTATATTATTCAGTATTAATTCATGTAGTAAAATTTAATATAAAATCATCTTGAAATCAAATGATTCTTATTGTAAATAAATCTTTTTGAAAAAATATCCAATGTTTATTTAGAAAAGTAAAATGAATTATGTTCTGGAATTTTATTATATATATTTTTTTAATTTATATAAATAATATTTAAATTTCCAGCATAGAGAATATATTTTACTGATCACACTAACAAAAATAGTATTTGAGATTCATTCTTTTTTTTATAAATATGACTACCTTTCTATATTTTTCATTATAATTCACAAAATTATAATGAAGAAAATTGGACTAACATTTGTTGGAACGTTGTTGTTCCAACAGTAGTAGACATTTGACTAATACTGTTGAATAGAGCTTCTGCCTGTAAAGTTTCTGGCAATTTAGTAAGAAATTGTGCTCCATGTACAAAGTCCATCTTTAATAATTCTTCTTGATATAGGTGCAACACACCAAGTGCTGTTCTAAAGAGGAACTCATCCCCATCCCTAAGAAAAACATCCCAAATTCTACATGCAACATCCAGAGGCATTGCTTTAGCATATATAGTATATAACCAATCTAACAAATATAAATCTGGGCTAAGACCAGCCACTGTAAAATGAGAAAAAATTTTTGGTAACTTATGTGCCAGTGCACTAGAATATACCTTGTAATAAATATCCATTTGTTTCTGATTTAATGTAAAAGCAGCTCTGTGACAAGGATGATTTAATAAATTAGCAAAGCAGGTAAAGGCATCTGGAGGTTCCATGTTTAATGATAATACTGCACCCACAAAACTCATACCTTGTACGTAACCTACATCAGGTCTATAAACTGCATAGGCTGCTAAAATACCTTGAAGACTATTAGATAATGGTCCATTTTCTTGAAAGACACATAAAGTAGGAAAAGTACGAGATACATCTAATTTGATTGCAGCTAATGTTTCACTTATAGGACTTGATATTGCTCTATCCAAACATATATTGTAAAGATGTGTTGTTATGTTCAAGTTATTTGGAATTGCTAATTTCCACACTTTGCCACGGACACTAGGTGGAAGACCACGCCACCATAATTCACGTACTCTTTTTGTATTTTTAACACTTTCAAATTTAGGAAGAATATGTACATTCCAAGTATGAGAATCTTCTGCTAATCTTTCTTCTTCTTTAAGTTGCAATTCTCTTTGCTGTTTACGTTCCTTTTCTTCTTTTAATTCTCTTTTCCTTGCTGCTTCTAAAATAGCACTGTACTGTTTGCGATGACGTTCTTCTTCAACTGCATTCTTAGCTGGCAGATTAGCTGGTCTTGGCTGTTGAATTAAAGCTAAACTTCCTCCTACTTTATCTACATTTCTTGATGGACTGCTTGCAGGTGTGGACTGTTGAGAATCTTTGTTTTTCCATGAAAATACGTTTTTTGAAAAAATTGTATTCAGTCCCCAACGCTTAGATTTCTCAGTTCTTTCTGTAACTTGTTGATCATCACAACCCAGAAAACTTCCAGAAGGAGAGACTTCGCTAAGGGAAGACACTGTACTGCTACAAGAACGTGGTAGACTATTCCTAGGACTACTGTTTGCACTACCACCTTCCAGTCTTGTATATTTATCCTCATCAACCTTGAAATTATCATTTAAAGATTCTTCTTTATAATCACATGGAGAATCTAAATATTGAGATTTAGAATCCAATTGTGATTCATTGGATTCCTCTAAAGAATATATTTGCTTTGTAGTGGGATTATAAGCTAGAGACATACTTTCCAATGCATGATTTAAACTAGTCCCAGCAACTCCTACAGAAACTACATTACCAGCATCGTACCATTTATTCTCTCGAATATGGACACATAATGCCTTAGTTTTTACAGTAGGCATAGAAGATACATCACATGCCAAAGCTTCATTAATATTCACACTGTTGCAGGATATAGAACTTCCATTCAATGACACCAGCTGCTGTTTACCAATTTTTGGGACAATGTTATTTGCAATGTAACAGTTAGAATCTCGTCCAGCAACTTTCAGTACTTGATAATTGTTAGACATATTTCCATAACGAGACACAATACATGGAGATACATTTTGTGATGAGATAGAATGATGATTATTCCCATTCAAATGATTAGATACAGGACTCTTCATGATTGATGCCTGTTTTCTAACCTTATCGATGTATTGAATGTTTTCCCAATCGGAACAAGCCAATAAAAATTTTCATATACAATAACTGTAGATCTGTATGTATGCATATTTTTTTCATTACTTTTTAATAACGTTATATATATACATCGTTGATATTCGCAAGCATATCGGTGTTGCGATGAAATAACACCCACATATAAAATTTACTCCTTTTGACATAGTTCTTACATTATAGGAGTTTCTGTTAATAGGTGATGGTCTTTACTCTGTGAACTTTATTCTGTTATAAAATGTAAATTTGCACATTTATGTATTTTTAACAAACGAATTTTTCACAGTATGAAGAAACGCCTTTAATCTTCATACTCTTTCGGTTGAGTTCAATAGATTACAAAGGATTATAAAAGGGTAGATTTAATTTTTACACAAAGCCAGTAACACACGTAGTGTCTAAAGTCTACTATTAATGAATATTTAACATAATTATACTGTGATGCTGTGTTCGAAACTTAACACTGACTTTAAATCGACAAATATATATATACATTCAATACTACACGAAACAGACTGTATATTTCTTTGATCTATGTACACGGTAAACTAATATTTTATATTGTATATGTATAATGTTCTAGTTTGAATTAAAATATTCTAATTTTTTGATATAATAAAATATGAAGAAAATTTTTCTCGTGCGTGGTTACTGATCTTTACCACTACGCAGTGCGAAATCACGTGATTGCCTTATCATTTCCCATTGTTAAATTGATAATATACACACATACAATAATTTTTTTATTTTTACATATAAATGTGTAAATATTTGTATTATATTATTATTAATATATACTTTCATCATTTTATATAATATAAAACAAAAAAAGGCACTTTAGACTTAAAAATTTAATAAACAAACGTACAATAGTAAAGAACATACAATAATAACTCAATTCTACTAAATAAATTTTCATTTGCTATTTAGAACGCAATTAATGTTTATTTTGCGTAATTAGATCTAGACATAAGCAACGAAGATCAAACTAAAATAGAAACGATATATATGATTTTTGTAGTGGAAATAACACTTGATCTTAGTACGAAAATCCCTAGAACGTTTGTGTCAAAACAGCTGATTACAGTAACTCATGAAAACCAAAATTCATACTAATTGAAAAGCTGTTGAAAAGTAGGTTAAAAAAGGTCAAATATCAATTACGTTATTGTCAAATTTCAATAAAAGATTGTGATTATTTCAGTGATATACAATTGTCAAGTGTGAATTTTCCAACATAACAGATGTTTATTGTAAGAAATGTCACAAATTGATATCCAGGACTTATTTGATAAAAGCAGGTAAAGTAATCATTTGTAAACAATAAATTTATAACGCATTGTAAGTAATTTTTTAGATAGCAAGTATAATTTAATTTTTTATAGCGATATTGATATTAATATATGCTATTTTTTGTTGTTGTTATTAATGTACAAATCTTTTGTTATTAACATATGGATACTATATAAATATATGAAGTATTATTTAGATAATATTTTATAACTAAAATATGAAACCTACAATTACGTGATATTTCTACATATTTCTACATGATATTGACATTAAGTTATAATATATTTGAAAAACTCTTTATATATAATAGCAAGTGTTATATAAATAATTAAAAATATATTTTTATTATACATGATTTGTTATATATATTTGATTTATAATAACATAGATATAAAAAATTAATGACAATTAATCTAGAAAAAATAATTGTTAATTAAAATACTTTATATATTTTAAATATTAATTAATATTAACTTAATAAATATTGAATTCAGTGTTGGTATTAATAATTAATTTTAAATTAAATATATTATTTAATTTAGGTTTCCCAGTGGTTGGCGTCTTGCACCTATATTTTTATATACCCCATTGGGTCTTGCACTTGCACTAATACGATTGTTGATTGCTTTACAACTTTGGCTTATTGCAATATTATTACCTGATTGTAACACTCTTCGGAAATTTTTACATCATGGATTTAGTTTTGTTTTTGGTATATTGGCGAAGATATCTGAAGGTGAAGTCAGAGACAAGCAATCAAGAATTATAATTAGTAATAGTGTCTCTGTATTGGATCATTTTGCTTTGTATAAAGCTACACAAGCACTAAGTCCTACTATGTGGGAAGTACCTACTGCCATGAGCAATGCATTAGGATTACAAGTGATGGATATGAGTAACAAAGAAACTCTAATTGCCAGTATGAAACAATTTCTTTCTACAACAAATTGTAATGTTGCAATACAACCTGAATTTGGCATAACCAATAGTCGTGTAGCCTTATTAAAGTTCAATTCTTGGCCATTTACCATAGAAGCATCTGTTCAACCAGTTACAATTAAAGCATGGAGGCCAGAATTTATATCCATTCATCTTACCTCATTGGCATCTAGACGATGGATAGATGTTTTTTGGTTCATGTTTGTCCCTTATACAGTCTTCACAATTAAGTACCTGAAAATCAAACAAAATCCAGATTGTGAAGTACTAGTACGGGAAGTAGAAAAGGACATAGCAACTAGTCTTGGACTTCAAACAAGTTCTCATACTGTATTAGATAAAAAAGAACTTGAAAAACGCTATATTATGGAAAGAACGCAAAATAGAAGATTTGATAGAAATTCTCCAACTTCGCAAGTTATTCATAATATTGAAATACAGAGGATGGTTCGACAAGTCAGTGAAGTGCTTCCATTAGTCCCTCATAATGTGATTTTGAGAGATCTTTGTATGTTAAACAAATAACTACTATTAATTTTCACACATTATATTTATTATTTCCTTTTTTTCTTTAAATTTCTAATTTATTATATTTATTTCAGTAAAAACACGCAATGTTGATATAACAATTGCCAATATATTGGATGGCATAGTTACTTATACTCCAGATTCATCTCAAACTGTTACACGATCAGCATCATTAAATCAATTACAAAAAAGTACAGTTAAGGACAGCAGTAATGTAGGATCTTCCTCCTTTCAAGAAAGAAAAATTAAAATGATAAGGGAAGCTAGGGAAAGGTATATTCAAAAACATGGACTTAAAAATTGCTGACATTCTCATCACAGTTTTACTCTGGTTATTGTATCTTTATTAATTACAAATATTTAACGTTTTACCGTATGTGTATTTACTATTACATATTGTGAATACAACTTTATTTCAAAAATATGATGGTATATTTTTACAATTTCTTATCCTTTTACATAAATATTATATTATTATTACGGAAAATATATTTTGGAAGACAATCAATCAGTTCATGTTTTTCAAATTGCAAATAAAATGAAAATTTCATTTATATATTAGTTATGTATAAAAATGATCATTATTTTTATTTATAAATTTTTTATTCTAAATGTATGGCACAAAAATTAATAAAATATTAAAAAAATATATAAAAATGCACTATATTTATATTTTACTACTTATTCGTAATATTAATATACTTATGAACTATTGGAAGACGTTCAATTTCATAAATAGTACATTAATCCTAAACTATCATCTTATGATAGATTGATAAAAAATATTTAAAATATCGACCTATTTTTATTAAAAAATATATTATTAACTGAGCATTTTTTAACTTAAATAAAGTTAATTTCATTCAAGTAAATATTATTAAAATCAAATGATAAACAAATTCAATGATTAAATTAATTTGTAGGATCTCCTTTTAACATTATTATACTAAAAAATTCAAATTGCTTGATAAAATATTCAATAATACTTAAGATTTCCAAGACATACATATTTTATCTCAAGAAAATCCTCAACACCATGTCTAGAACCCTCTCTTCCTAAACCTGATTCTTTTACACCTCCAAAAGCAGCTTCTGCAGTAGAGATTATCCCTTCATTTACACCAACCATTCCAACTTCCAATTGTTTTGCTACCCTAAATATTTGCGATATATCTTGAGAGTAAAAATATCCAGCTAATCCAACAGGTGTATTATTAGAATTTTCTATAACTTCATTTTCGGTTTCAAATTTATGAATAACAGCTATTGGGCCAAAAATTTCCTTGTTATATATTTGCATTTCTTTAGTAACATCAGTTATAAGTGTGGGAGCATAAAATAGTGGCCCTAATTCAGGCAATGGTGTACCACCACAATGCACTTTTGCTCCTTTTTTTACAGCATCAGTAATTAATGCATGTATCATATTTAACTGACTTTCTTTAATGAGAGGCCCATGTGTAACCTCTTTCTTACTACCATCACCCATTTTAATATCACTTTGAATTTTTGATAAAAACATTTCTATAAATTGATCAAATTTACTACTATGTACAAAGAATCTATTTGCAGAAACACATGTCTGACCACAATTACGAAATTTACTTAACATAGCACCTTGTACAGCTATATCTAAATTTGCAGAATCAAAAACAATAAATGATGCATTACCTCCCAACTCAAGACAAAGTCGCTTTATAGTTGAAGCACTTTGTTTATACAAAATTTTCCCCACAGCTGTTGAACCGGTGAATGATAAAACTTTTACATCAGGATTTTCACATAATTCCCTACCAACATTAGGAGAATTCTTTAAACTTGTTGTAATTACATTTACTGTTCCATGAGGGAAACCTGCTTTTTCTGCAAGATCAGCTAGTGCCAGAGCAGTAAGGGGTGTTTCTTCTGATGGTTTAATTACACATGTACACCCAGCAGCCAAAGCTGCAGCTGCTTTACGTGTTATCATAGCATGTGGAAAATTCCATGGTGTAATTAAAGCAGCAACACCTATAGGTTCTTTATATAGCAGAAGTTTTCTATTAGATATTGGTGTTTGCAATATTGTTCCTTCAATTCTTCTAGCTTCTTCCGAAAACCACTCAACAAATGAATTTCCATATTTGATCTCAGCTTTGGATTCTGCAATAGATTTTCCATTTTCTTTAGTTAAAATTTCTGCTAATTCCTCTGTATGTTCTACCATTAAATTATACCAATTTCTAAGTAAATCACTTCGTTCCTTTGCTGTTGTTTTACTAAATGATTTGAAAACTTCAGATGCTGCATTAATTGCTAATCTTGTGTCTTTTACATCCATGTCAGGTACATTTTTAATAACAGATTGATCAACTGGATTATAAACAGGAAATGTCTCATTTTTTTCTCCTCCTACCCACTTTCCATTGATATATGCTTGATCTCTTAAAAGATGCAGTGATCGATTTAATAAAGTAGTATAATATGAAATATTTCTTTGTAACATGTGCATATTAAGGAAAGTTGGATATATAATCTGTAACCAATTAATTCATGAAAGGTTATGAAATTATAAAATACATTAAATTCATATTATTTTTAAATAAAATCATGATTTTAATTATGGAAAAACTGGAATAGAAAAACTGATTATAAAAATTGTGGTTATAAAAATCATTCTTAAACATTATGATTAAATTAACATTGAACAAATATAATTATATAGTGATGTTATTCAATGATGATGTTCAATTATTCATAATTTACATATAAATATGTTAGTGTGGGAACTGTCAAACTGACACTTACCTTTGAATAAAAGAACATCAAAGAAAGGCAACTTGTGTGTTTAATGCAATGTCTTATTGCAAACGGTTATTTTCAAGCAAGTGTTATAAATTCGTCTTATCAGCTTTATCGCAATTGACCTTATATAACTTGTCACTACTTTACTGTGATTAAGCCTATACATGTATTCCAGTTTATTCTTTGACTTTGTGGTAGTGTGTGTAATCGGCGCGCCGGCGTCTTTCGGTCAATAAAAATATTATCTGATTTAAATGTTTATTATAATATCATACTTGATAAAACAGAAAGTATACAAGAATTTGCGTTATGAGTACAAATACAAAAAGAACTATTTACGTGGGTAGGTAGATATTCGTTTTTATTATATTTAACTATGCATAATCATAACGACAATATAACCTATTTTTAATATAATTTATACAGTTTTAATATACTTTTGATACTATTTTCGAATTTAGGAGGCTTAGCCGAAGAAGTTGATGAAAAAGTACTGCACGCAGCATTTATACCTTTTGGGGAAATTGTTGATGTACAAATACCATTAGATTATGAATCAGAAAAGCATAGAGGATTTGCTTTCATTGAATTTGAAAGTGCAGAAGATGCAGCAGCAGCAATTGATAATATGGTATATATATATATAGATATATATATATAAAACAATATTATCTGCGTGAGTTAATTAACAAAAATAATATATATTATATCTATTATAATAGAATACATTAGTATAAAAAGTTAATTCCACTTATCTAATCATTATAATATTGATTCTTTTAAAATCATTTAATCCACAAATTTATCAAACTTTATCTTGGATAAATAGAATGATTCTGAACTGTTTGGACGAACAATCAGAGTAAACATTGCAAAACCACAAAAAATAAAAGAAGGTTCATCAAAACCTGTTTGGGCTGATGATATGTGGCTACAAGAGCATGCAGGTGAAACACTTAAAAATGATGATAATTCAAAATCAGGTGATACAGTACAACCGAAAAAAGGAAAACAAAATCCTCAAGTATATTTTGATATCAGTATTGGAAAACAAGAAGTGGGTAGAATTATTATGATGCTAAGAGCTGATATTGTACCAAAAACTGCTGAAAATTTCCGTGCTCTTTGTACCCATGAAAAAGGATATGGTTATCAAGGAAGTACTTTTCATAGAATTATTCCAGAATTTGTATCCTTTGTTTATTACAAAATCAGAATCTCTTTTGTATAGCAAGTAACATTAAATAAATACTTACATGTACAAACATAGATGTGTCAAGGAGGAGATTTCACAAATCATAATGGAACTGGAGGAAAATCAATTTATGGAAATAAATTTGATGATGAGAACTTTGAGTTGAAACATACAGGACCAGGTACATTGTCAATGGCAAATTCTGGGCCAAATACAAATGGATCGCAATTTTTCATCTGTACAGCACGTACAGATTGGTTGGATGGAAAACATGTAGTATTTGGACATGTTCTTAGTGGTTTAGATGTTTTAAAAAAAATGGAAAAGTGTGGTGCAAAATCAGGCACTCCTACTCAAAAAGTTGTTATAACAGCTTGTGGAGAATTGACTTAAATAAATCTTCTTTAGTAATTCATAACATTTGCAAATTTTATATCAAACTTAATAAATAAATTTATTAAAAAATGATTTAAAATACTATATCCCTAACGTTTATTTATTTAGAGATCTTTTCTTCAAAATAGTGTACAATAATGTAATTTAAATGCTATAAAATTTTTTCAATCGTGAATTATAAAAAGCTTTTTGGAAAAATCTAACGATTCGCTATACTTGTTTTTTTTCTTATCTTACCTATCTTTTTTTAAGTTTACTGTTTTTTTATTTTAACTAGATCGAAGTTAGCTTATTTTACATTTTTATATATTTATATATAATTATACATTATTATATATTTTATTATTCATGTATTCATTAATTTCATAGTAAAAAAGTAATTAAATCGATATAATGACATTGACATACAGTTAAAATGATAAAAATATGCACTGTCATACTGATTAATAAAAGAACAAAGTACTACTAATACAAAATATATATATGGTATATAGTCGCGGTATATGGTGTTTAGTCGCGTGTCATTATGTTACGTTCTTCGATAGGTAAAACCATGCACCAAGTAACACGCAGTTTATCGACAATAAAATGCAAACGATTGGAAGGAAAAGTAGCAATTGTTACAGCATCTACAGAAGGGTAAAATATTTTCATTTCGTAATTACGATATTTTTATATAAATTATAACCCTAATTTTTTACGTTAACCAATATGAATATAAAGAATGTATACAACTTTACATTTATTATTATGTACGAAATGTATAAAACTAGCTTTTATTTATTAGTTATTTTTACTCATTTTATCTGGAGCAAACCTATAATAAAATGTAATTTGTTATAGTATTGGTTTTGGAATAGCAAAACGTTTAGGTGAAGAAGGTGCTAAAGTCATGATTAGCAGCCGTAAAGAAACAAACGTAAAAAAAGCTCTAGAACAACTTAAATCTAAAGGTTTAAATGTTTGTGGTACTATATGTAATGTTGGCAAAAGTGAAGATAGAAAGAATCTTCTTGAAAAAGTAAATTTGTTATTTGTTTATAAATGTTAACATCTTAAAATATACATATCTAAGAGTATAATTTATTAATTTATTTTATTTTAGACTAAACAAGAATTTGGTGGTTTAGACATTCTTGTATCAAATGCTGGCATAAATCCAGCAGCAACTACATTTTTTGAAACTTCAGAAGAAGTATGGGATAAAATTTTTGATATTAATGTTAAAAGTACATTTCTTTTAATACAAGAATCTTTACCACTTTTAAGAAAGAGTAAATCTCCATCAATAATTATTATATCTTCAATAGCAGGATATATGTCATTTCCTGTAAGTTATTCTATTTAAAATATGTATTTTATCTTATAATAGATAATATGTTTGTATAATTCATATGAGAATTAATATTGCAGTTCTTAGGTGCATATTGTGTTAGTAAAACAGCATTATTAGGATTAAATCAAGTAGCTGCTGAAACTCTTGCACCTGAAGGAATTCGTGTTAATTGCATTGGACCTGGTATTATAAAGACTAAACTTTCGAAAATGGTAATGTATTTTTATATTTTTTTGTTACTGTCTTACTATATCATTAATAATATATAATAACATTTTAAATAGCTTTATGAAGGTGAAATAGCAGATACAATGTTATCAACAATACCAATGCAAAGATTTGGTGAACCAGATGACATAGCAAAAGTTGCTGCATTTTTAGCAAGTGACGATGCTTCATATATAACTGGTGAAACTATTGTTGCTACTGGTGGAATACGAAGCAGACTTTAAATATTGCTTATAAAACGACTTGAATGATTAAAATTTTTATTAAATATTCCATGTATTTTAGTAGTTTTTTTTCTTTATTAAAATATTTGTAATTTTTTTGTCATTTTTCAAATAATTACATATATGTTATGTCTCTAAAAAAAGCATATATATATATATATATATATATATATATAGTGATTTAACAATTTATTTTCCAAAATAGGTTAGGTTTTAGGGTACATTCACAATGTATAAAAAAAATTTGATGTTTTTTTATATTTTATATTTATACACTTTGCATTAATAAATAACAGTTATATCATAAGAACAAGATTATGTCAAATTTATTCATTTCAAATTATAATTTTGCTAATTTTAATATTTATTTATTACTATACGTATAATCAGAATTCTATTTACATATATATCGTATCGAATGATAATGGTAGTTAAAGGTAATGGCAGATGAAAATATGGTTCAGAACGCAGTACAGCCAAAAGAGAATCACGAAGGTGATGAAAATGGATGGGAAAATGAAGAAGAGGAAGCAACTTGCAATGACGCTGGTAAATAATAATTCTATATAAAAATATACAAGATAAAAAATGCTACCTCGGTTTATTAAATATTCTATATGCATAATTTCTTTTCATATATTTTTAATAAAATTCTACATGCAAAATATACGTATTCTACATACAAATTGTACATATTTTAATTTTATAATTTTAGAATTCGAAGCTATAAATGCCCAACTAGATCAGCTTAATTCGGTTTTGGATAACCTCGAACAAAAAAACGATGATATTCGTACAGAATTGATTCAGCTATTACAATCAAATCGAGAAGCAAGAAAACAATTTCAAGAATTCCAAGATTCCGTAAAATCGGATTTATAATATTTTATTTGAAGAAGGTATATAATTTATGCTTTGATAATATGTATTTATAATCTATTAATAATTTAAAGTATTAAGTAATTTTTACAATATTTTACATTACAATCAAGTTATTTTTTTATTATTTCAGATAATTATATATTGTAAATATATTGAATAATAAAACAGTATAACATTACATTTGTACTGTTTTACAGTATAATGCGACTCATTTAAACATTTAAAAATAAGGAACATTCCTATTAAAATTGAATAATGTATAAACTTGTGTTTTTATAAAAAGATAATGCAGGTATAAGAAACATACATATATACAAATATTATTCATGTACATACGAATATAATTTTAACTTTATTATATATTTATTGTATTATTATCTAAATTGTTGACTGAAAATATTAAAAGCTCTTTAAAAATTTCTGAATCAAAATCTTGAATTAGGAGTACATTAGGTTCATTTGATAATAAATGATCAAGTACAACTTGACCTCGTGTTCTATTGCCATTTAATTCAACATCAGCATGATATGAGACTACATTTTGAGCAATCTCTGGCCTTAATAATATTCCAGCTAAAATTGCATCACACATAATATAAGTAGGAAATTGTTTTTTTCTTTTCTTCTGACATGCATATTCAATATCATTCATAAGCTGAATACAAGGTTTATCCATTTGACCTAATATGTCTCTCCGCCATTCCTAAAAAGTATTAAATTATGTTTAAAAAAATATTAAATTGTGTTAAAAATTTATCATATCATGATTACACCAATATTTAAATCAATATACAAACATGTGAAATACGGGACTTTAAACATGTTTCCCATGGTAATAGCCACAAACGTTTTTTATTATTATTTAATACTATATGTACACTTTCAGGATCCATGTAAAAATTAAATTCTGCTTGAGGTGTAATATTTCCTTGTGCTAATGTAAATAATGAAGATGAATAAAAATATGAAAAAAATGATTAATAAGTGGAAATAAAAGGAATAAATATTACCTGTTGTATTTCCTCCCATAATGTAAAATTGTTTTACATTATCCATAAATTTAGGGTACATTTTTACTACCAATGCTATGTTTGTTAATGGTCCCATACATAAAACATTCACTTCATTGGGACATTCTGACACAATTTTATTTAAAGCATATACAGCATGTTCTTGTTCTAATTTACTTGTATCTATTTTTGTATCATATACATCACCAAATCCGTCATTACCATGATAGTAATCTTGAACTGCATTTTTAATGCAAAGTAAAGGTGCGTATGCTCCTTGGAAAACTGGTATCTAAAAAAAATGAGATAGTTAATATATATCCATTAGAAACATATATAATATTTAAGAAATTAGAACTTACATCTGTTGCCTTGCAAACATCTAAAGTTCTAAATACATTTTTTACTACATTGTCTACACTTGTATTGCCATTAACACAAGTAATTGCTTTAATTTCAATTTTCTTCTGTTTATGAGCAGCAATCAATATTATTAATGCTAGTGCATCATCTATACCAGCATCACAATCAATAACAACTTTGGTTCCTGTCATTTTAACTTAAAAATGTTTTACTATTTATTTTATGATATGATAGCTTTATTTTATATTATACTGGCTCTTTTACTTATTAAAACTGAAGTTTGAATTTAATTATTATATTTATTTTATCAATATCTGTTTTGTAATTTATACAAAAAGATGAATTATTTTTAGTTATATAACAACTCTATAATATTAGTAATGATACACATTTTAATTATATAGCAGATTCGGCGTTTGCTTTTCATAAATAACGAAAAATATAAAATGAAATTAATAGAGATAATTTAATATTTGCGGTAATATTTATCGTTTATACTTCTAATTACCAAGATGCTGAATATTTTAATTTCTTATTGTAGATATTTGTAACGGACATAAATTATAATCTCATTAAGTACTCCAAGTTTAAAATGTGATTAAGTGTAACTACAGATGTATTTACAGCTACATATACTGACATGTGTAGTCATGTATGAGATATATTTCTTAATACGTGACATAGAAGTAGCACTATACGAGTAAGTAAATTTTATAAATATTATTATATTATAAGTAAATTTTATAAATATAAATCTGGACACTATATTGCATTGTCCGTTGAATTATATTAATAAAATATTAACAATTGTATTTCACACATCTAAAATCATTATCTTATCTACTGCTAACTAGAGTTTGAATTTCAAAAATAGTACACTAAGTTACAATAGATGGCGTTATTTTGGACTAAAAAGATATAATCGAAATAAAACAGGGCGACAAAGAAGCTAAATGGTAGTTATATACGTTGACTTTTTCATGAAAATGAAATAATAACTAAAAAATTGACAAGATTATACCATAATATATACCATAGTTTTATGTTTAAAATTGCAAATAAGGCATTAAAATGGACGAGGCAAAGTTTTTAAAACGGTAAGCAGCCTTCTCACATCACTATACTATTAATTATATATTATACAATTGTTACACAAATTTGAGAAGTACACATATTTTATATTTAATATTTTATATCTCTTTAAAATCGTATATAGATTGTAACAATATTAAATGCGTTTTAAAAATTTAGAAAAGTAAGGTCTGGAACTTTGGATGTACATCCAACAGAAAAAGCTTTAGTAGTAAATTATGATGTTGAGGCATTAATTTTGGGTGAATTAGGAGATCCTATGTTGGGAGATCGTAAAGTAAGTTTTAAATAATTTACTTCTATTAATTGGAATAATTATGTGATTAATTAATTAAATTTATTTATAGGAGTGTCAGAAAATAATTCGTCTAAAAAGTTTAAATGCAGACACAAATGTATCACTTTTAGCTAAAGAAGTCATTGAAAAATGTTCTTTGATACATGAATCAAAGCTTCGTGAAGTAGAACAATTGATTTATTATCTTCAAAATCGTAAAACAAATGACAGTATGAGTAAGATTTTATATGCATCAAAAATTATCTTTGACAATATAGTATTATTTACTTCTTTCATTGCGTATCCATTTTATTATAGACAGTGATAACAATTCTCAACCTTCAAGACCTGCATCATCAAATTCGATATCTACAGATAATAGTGAAACAGAACGTGCTGTCATTAGCAATGTTGATAATTATATTGAATTGTTATATGAAGAAATACCAGGAAAAATCAAAGGTTCATCATTAATTTTACAGTTAGCAAGAGTACCTGATAATCTTCATGAATTAACAAAAAATGGTATTGGATATTTAACAATTGTTTACTTATTCTTCTTCTTCTTTCATTATAAATAATTAATATTATATTTTTTAGAATCTTTATTAAGTGCTTTAGCCAGAGTTCTAAGAGAAGATTGGAGGAGAAGTATAGAATTATCTGCAAATATCGTGTATATTTTCTTCTGCTTTTCAACATATAGTCAGTTTCACAATATTGTACTTGAATACAGAGTAAGTATTATAAAACTAAATTAGAATGAAAAAAGATAAAAAAGTATTCAACAAATTATTCATATTTAGATTGGATCTTTGTGTATGGATATAATTGACTTCGAATTACATCGATATGACCAATGGAAAGAGGATATGGAAAAACGTAGGCGTCATTTTGAAAATACTACAGGATTGACATTTTTTTCTACTGGAAACGATAATTGTGACAAGAAAACAAAAATCGTGGATGATATTTGGAATACAGATGGCCCTTTAGATTATGAAATTAAAAAACGATCTAATGAAGTAACTGTTACTGTAACTGAAAACGATATCAAAAAATTAAAAGAAGAACTCGAAAAAAATCGTAAAAAATTCAAAAGTTTAATAAAGAAACAAGAACAATTATTACGAGGTTGGTACATAAATTCATATTTTGCTAATATCAATAAACTTCAAATATTATATAAAAATTCATTTTATAGTTGCATTTTATTTGTTATTAAATATTGCCGAAAATATGGAAGTTGAAAGAAAAATGCGCAAAAAGAATGTAATTGGTATGCTTATTAAAACTTTAGATAGGACAAATATGGACTTGTTGATCCTTGTCATTGCATTTTTAAAAAAGTTATCCATATTTCGCGAGAATAAGGATCTCATGGTAAAGTTTCAAATGTGAAATTTACATAATAGTAATATGTATTTATTTATTTATAGTTTTATTTATTATTTTTTAGGCTGAAGAAAATATTATTGAAAAGATTCCAAGGCTCCTTCAAAGTAATAACGCAGATCTTGTTCTAAGTACTTTAAAATTATTATTTAATCTTTCCTTTGATGCAAAGCTTAGAGCAAAAATGATAAGAGTAGGTTTATTACCAAAGTTAATTAAACTACTTGGGCAAAGTGACATTCAAAATAAAACCACAATTTTGGGCTTATTATATCATGCTAGTATGGATGATAAAGTAAAAGCTATGTTTATAAATACTGAATGTATCCAAATGGTAAGTAAGAAAGTAATATTTGTAACTATAAATAATATTCACAAGTCATATGAAAAATGTCAGAATGTTAAAAAATGTTATACTATATATATATATATATATATGTGTGTGTGTGTGTTTAAGATCATAAATATGATTCTAAATACTGAAGATGATCAACCAAAATTAGAATTAATTGCACTTGGTATAAATCTGGCAATTAACGGTAAAAACGCGCAACTTATGGTAGAAAATAATCGTTTGCAAGGTCTCATAAAAAAAGCTTTTCGAACTCAAGATCCTTTAATTATGAAAATGATTCGAAATATTTCTCAACATAATTCAACAAAAGAAAATTTTGTTGTAAGTAATTAACTGCGTAGTATGAAATAATTACTTTTGATAGAAATATTAAAAAATTACTTTTAATCATTATTAGGAATTTGTGGGTGATTTTGCTATGGCCTTAAATCAATCAGATTCTCAAGATTTTGTACTTGAAGTTATAGGTGTGTTAGGAAATTTGGAATTACCCGATTTGGATTATTCACAAATACTTCATCGATGTGATTTGATACCATGGATACGCAATAATCTTGTTCCAGGTTCCAAATTTATATTAAAATAAACATCAATTTTTTAAATATTTTTATATTTTATTTATACACATTTTTAATTTTATTTAGGTAAAGCTCCAGATGATTTAGTACTTGAAATTGTAATATTTTTGGGCACTGCTGCATTCGATGAAGATTGTGCACGTTTACTATGCAAAGCTGATATATTGCTTTCTCTTATTGAACTTCTTAAAGGTTTGTATATTAGATATACATACATACATACATACATACATACATACATACGTACGTACATACATACATATATATGTTTTTTTAATAAAAAAAAAACTTACAGCAAAACAAGAAGATGATGAAATGGTTTTACAAATAATTTACGTTTTCTATCAAATATCTAAACATGATTCAACAAGAGATTATTTGATACGCGAGACTGGTAATGGTAATAATCAAATTTTCTGCTTTATCGTCAAAACATAATATTGTGATAAAATTTACAAGGAAAATAAAAAATTTGACATGTTTTTATTAATGAAATATTTTTGTTATTAACAGAAGCACCTGGATATTTAATAGATCTTATGCATGATAAAAATCCAGCAATTAGAAAAGTTTGTGATGCCTGTTTAGATGTTATTGCTGTAAGTACATTTTTAAAATTTTCCATGTAAAGTATTGTATTAGAGGCTGATGCAATTTTAAAAATAAAATTTTAAAAAAGACAAATAAATAAATTAGTATCTTGAAATTTTAGATGTGTGATAAAAATTGGGCAGCTCGTATAAAAGTAGAAAAGTTCAGATCGCATAATCAACAATGGTTGGAAATGGTAGAGTCTATAACAAATGATACCAGCAGTCACTTATTACCAGAAGAAGACGATAGCCTTTCTCCATTTATGAATGGTGACCTTTTAAAGCATACAATGCTCTTTCCTTCAGGTAAATAATATTTATATATATATTATTTTATTAAATAAAATATTAAATAACAATATTAAACCTTTAACAGGTAACGTAGCATCATTTAATATGGATGACCGATTTTCAATTATGAAAAATTCATCAGAATCATCTGAAAATCAAAGTCGTCCAGTTAGTAGGTAAGCTTCATATATAAATCTTTTTTATATATATTTATTTATATATATATAATGTATATAAATAGGTATAATAATATATATTTATTTTTGATACTCATATTTTAGGTATAAAGATTTTGATGAATTAGGTGAACTTATGGCACGTTCTAAATCTCGTATGTCCGTTGGACGATCTGGTGTGGATTCTGGTGTGGACGATCTTTATTATAATTCTAAAGTTAAATTTCCTGAATCAGACAGTTCTCACGTATTAATATAAAAAGTATTCAATTATAAAGAATTATAGCTACATAACTTAATAGTCATCTTGTTGATACAATTTGTTAGCTTTTTATTGTCTTTTTATTTTAAGTATTATATTATATATGATTGAAGCGCAAAATTAACGTCTATAGCAACTTTTATAGTTTATTATATATATATTTATTTATTTATTACATATATATATTTAGTCACAGAAGAATCTTAAGAAATTTTAAAAAATTATGTATGTGGTAAATTATTTTGATCTCATAATGTAGTATATTTTATTTTTTTATAAATTAATTTATAAAAAAAGTATTTAGTTCAGACTGACTTCTAGTCTTGTAATTTTACAATAACTAATATAATTAATAATGTGATTATTTTTTCATTATGTAATTTTGGTATGTGCAATATTATAATGCTACAAATGAAAAATATAGTCTTAGTAATAATATAGTACTATACATATGTTTCTGTTGCATAGGATTAGTAATAAAAAATTAATAGGCAGCAAAAAAAGATAAAAAAATTTTAAAACCCCACGGCCAGAGTTAATAATTTATAAAAATCTATTTTATATCAAGATAGTTTATAAAATTGTATTCTTTATTTGCACACACATTCTTTTACTTCAAGTATTAAAAACTTAAATATTAAAATATTGATGTACTACAATATTGTATGTGTCTTATTCTTAAGTATTATTCTATATCATAATAATGTATAAATTATCAAATATATTTTACTTCTTAGTATAAAAGAATTAATATTTATCGATTATAATAAAATTACAACAATTATTGAAAAATCCTTGATTTATTATTTGAACTTAAACTTTTACGTATAATAGAATGAGCACCTGGTCTAAATACAATAGTATAGCTATTATCACCATCTGTATAAAATGTATGTTCTTTTAAATCCCAACTAACAGGGCTATCTGAGAATCCTTGAACATGTAAAGCTGCCCACGGTAAAGTATGTATCATTGATACATATTCTTTCACAACAGTGTATAAACTTTTAATTTGTTTTCTTGTAAAGAAACCAGTCCATTGTAAATACCGTACTTGGCCAACGTTTATAAATGGCGATGGACATTTATATGTGTTCACATAATCATTCTTTGTATTATTATTCCTAAAAAGATTAACTTATTATTACAAAATTTATTTAAAATTGTTATACATACATTATTTGTTATACATACAAGTTACCACAGATACTAAGAACTCCAAGCCATTCAAAAAATTTATCTTTATCAGATTCATCAGAAATTATCGGTATGGGTAAAGAACATTCAATTCTTTGTGAAAATGTTTGTTGACACAGAGATACATTATAGTTATACTTATGAAACCATGCTGCTACAGATGAAGGGCATAGATTATCGTCTGAAAATATAAGAATAAATTTAATAAATAATATAAGAATATAAGAATATATAAGAAAAAATTTAATAAATTTATATAAATTAATATAAGAAAATATAAGAATAAATTTAATAAATTTAATAAAAATATAATAAAATTATAAGATAACAAAAAACCTACCTGGTGGATTCCATGACACAATTATATTGAATCGCTTATTAAGGCGCTCCTTTAATGACGTTTGAACGTGTTTATAATTTTTTTTGCCAGGTGTAAAACTTTCAGACTTTAAATCAATAGTTATAACTTTTGATTTATGTTACCGACAAAAAAAAACATATTAATAACTTTAAAACATCATCAATAAACTTTTAAAATTTTAAAACTGTTAATTATTTGTATTTGAATAAAAACTACAAAAATATATAGGTACTTTTATTTTTTTGTGACTTTATATTTTTAAACATTCTACACATTATAAATAATAGTATATATATATATATTTTTTTTTTCTTAAATCATTTATAAACATCTAGTTAATATTTTATTATGCAAAAGATAAGCTTGGACTTGTATCCAAGTTAATGTTAGTATTTTTTAACTCTTCTCTAAACATATTTAATTCTGCAAGAGATATTCCTTGCCAATTTTCTAATTCTGATAAACGATATAAATTATCACAAGAATGCATTAATAATTGTATAGTTTTCATTGATAAATCATGACTATATAATATTTTAAGCTCTTCTAATTTTTGCATTGGGTTTTGTGAAAATATTCTTCTTATTGTTTCATCTCCAATACCAGTTGATGAACCCAGTTGAATAAATTTAATGTTTTTACAATATGAGAGTAAAAATTCTAGATGCATGTTCGTACATTCTGTTACACATTTGATTCTTTCTAAATTCTGGAATGGAGAAACTGCAAATTTTCTTGGATAAATTGGTCCTTGTTCTAACAATTCACAGTTATAGAAAACTAGGTTGTTTATATTTGGGCAATATTGACTTATAGATATAAGTGCATTCAAGTCAATTCCATCTACATGTTCCAAATGTAGACTTGTAATTGTACAACCTTTTATTTCTAGTAGCGTTTTTATTCCATGGGTATAAAAATCACAAGACAGAAGTTTTAATTCTTTTAAATAATTAAGAGCAGCTAAAATTATGAGATCCATAATTCTTTCATCGCGTAATATACAAAGACTTGTAATATATGGACACATATCAATCAGAAGATATAAATGTTCTGCGTTCAAATTTCTGCATTCAAATTTTTTTATGTAAAAAGAACTTATTGAGTTAATATCTTTCTCATGAATATGTTCTAAAACATATCCAAATTCATCACATCTACCAATATCTTCTATATTTAAGTGTTCTAGAAAGAGAGTTGCATAACCAGATACAGTCACAGAAGTTTTACATAACTTAATTTCTTTTAAATATTTACACGACAGCAAGGGACCAATACTGCGTTCTGTTACAGATTTAGATGCAGTTACATCTAACTTCTGAAGTTTTTTACAGTTCTGTGTTAAAGCTGCTATAATATTATCTGTGCAATCAAAACATAAAACAAAACATACTAAATTTGGCATAGCAGTTATGCCACTAATAATAACTTTTTCAATATCAGATGTTCTCCAACCAGCTGATCCTGAGCCTAAATCCAAAACTTCAAGACCAATCATGTCAGGTAATTTATTGTAAAGAATATGACGCATAATTTTAGGCCAAGCAGAAAATTCAATCATTCTTAAGTGTGTATCTACAGCTACTTCTGTTAAATGAAGAGCAACTGTTATCTCTGATAAAAAGGTTGTAGTTAAAGCATAATCATTATATGTACCCCTAGTTTCTTTGACCAAATTAACAATTGCAGTTAATACTGTTCTAGACATTTTATCATATAGATGTCTAGGTATATTGTAGCTTAGTAAATGTTTCATAAATTCTAACATTGAATGTAACTTAGCATGTCCATATTCTGGATTAGTTTTAGAAATTACGCAAATATATTTTGTCAAGGATCTACCAAAAATAGTTACAAATTCTCCAATAGAATGTAATGCTAGATCCACCAGCTTATATACCTGATGCTTTCTTGGCATTTTGAAATTTATTAGTTTTCTCCTTAGAACTTACCATAACGTGTATGAACTTTACGGTCAAAGAAAGAAGCTTTGCCTTCTAAACCAAGCTTTTGATAATCCTCTGTTAATAAAGATAATATTAAATGTCCAGCTGGCGTAATAGCAACTGAATTGTCTATATCTATTTTATTTTCTATTGTTAAAAGTGTCAACTCTCCTGAAAATATTTATAAAAATAATATTTTATTATTTCAATTGTATTTGCAATAAAATTTTTGTACAAAAATAAGGATTAATTAAATAAGCACTGGCAAACATTAATAAAAATTATTTAATTAATTACCTTTCTTGACGAATGCTTCGATAAATTCTTTATTTATTAATTCAAATACATTTAGCCCATCAATACGATAATAATCGCTATCTTCCAAAAGACAAGTTCGCAGTTCGTCCGGAACTCTAGTTGTATCAGGAAGTACCAAAGATACCTGGCAAAAAGCCAACAGTATTTGCGAATTATGTAAAGATTTCTTAAAGCTTACTTTTATGAAGTTATAATTGATTACAATTCATTTTTTACGTACAGAATGGTTAAAATAATGTGATTTAACTACGTCTGGTATATCACTTTTCCTGTAATCTCTTTTTTCGGTAGAAAAATGATACTGAGGTGATTTAAAATTCCATGTTTCTGGACTAAGCATTTTTTAATAATAAATTAATGATGTTATTTCCTTTCAGATATAAATATTCCTTTTACAATGTTAAATAAATAAATATTTTACACGCTAGCATTGATACTCTAAAACTTTTCATGAACATATGGCCAGAGAGATCGTAGAGACAAGGTAATATCACTCCTTCCTCTACTTACTACCCTACTCCTTCCTCTAATTCCCCTACTAGAAAAACTGTGTCTGCCTATCATTGGTTTATAATATTTTACTTCCTTTTTATTACAAAAAGTTTAATATATGATTTTTATAGTATTTTTTATGTTGAACTCAAATATAGTCAAATATATTTTCTATAAAATTTAACCAACTTTTACAGTTAAAATGTAAAAAAGATGTTCAAAGTTGAAAATTTTCTTAAAACCTGAAGGTGAGAAAAACAATTTGCATATTTGAATTCTGCATTAAAAAATACATAAGAGTTAGTGTAAATGCTTTTTTGTGGTAAAAATTATGATTCAGTATAATCTGACAGTATATATACATCAGATTATACATCACGTATTCTTCGCATAGAAGAATTTGCCAGAGAGTAAAGTGACAGCGAGGATAATTTTTATCTTGTTCCTTTGATCTGGCAACTCTGTACATAATACATGTACTTTTAATTATTAATTAAATCTTCCCGAATATTATTGTATAAAAATACAAAAAATACATTAGCCTCGGTAGCGCAGTAGGCAGCGCGTAAGTCTCATAATCTTAAGGTCGTGAGTTCGATCCTCACCCGGGGCAATTCTTTTGTATATTGTTTAATAATAAACTGATATAATTTTTTAAATAACTTTATGTTTATAACTTATTCATTTAGTTAAAATAGTGGTATAATGTGAAAATAAAAATACAGGTGGACAATTATTTATTTATTTATTTATTGTCTAAATATAAATACGAAAATAAGGATATAATAATTATTTCCTTTTCCTAACTTCATTTGGATTTCTTTGCATCCAATATTTAGCAGGACCTTTTGTTCTTATGCCCAACACAGCTGATTTAGAATGTACATCGCGCATAACAAATGGAGAATATTCAGCTATACGATCATCTTCTAAAGGATTATTTTTAGTACGTGCTAGTCTTGATGGTCTTTGATCAGGTAATGGATGATCTTCACAAAGAATTGGATTGTTTGCATGTTTTCCACCTTTTGGAAGTGGTAAAGAAAACTAGAAATTTTTAAAATTTTTGTGTAGAATACTAATATATTGTGTAAATACATATATACTAATAAAAACGAAAAAATATGAAGCCATACTCTTTTTCCTTTTTTTGAAAGTGGCCTCCGGAAATTGATATGAATTTCTTGTTTTCCTTCTTCATTTAATGTAACTGCAACCTTTTTTAATGTCTTATTACCACAATTAGGACAAAAAACTTTTGTCATAATACTAGTGGTTTTATAACACGCATGACATCTAAAAATGTATGTCCGCATTTGTTTAATAATTCTTCCATCTAATGCAACCACATTTAATCCCATTTGTTTTAAAACATTTTGCATAGCAAAGTCCATTGTTAAACATGCAACAGTTACAGATTTTTGTTCAAGGAAATCTGAATCAAGTTTTTTCTTTATACGACTAACATTTCCTAAAATAAAAAGAGATTTTTTATTTATATGTATAGTCATATGAAATATTGAAGAATCTTACCAGATGTTATCCAACCACTATCATCATCATCACCATCATCATCTTCATCTTCATACTCATAATTATCATTATTATCATCATTTCTATTACTTTTATACTCATTACATTTATCTGTGTTATCATTGTTTTCTTTGATTGGAATCAGAATGTCATCAACATTATGTTCAATATCATCTTTATCTTGAACTATAAAATTTGTTGATTCATAAGTTAATCTTGAAAATTTGGTAGACAAATCTTCTGTTCTATTCTGATTTATTTCAAACTCTGTTGTTTCATAATCAGATCCAGTAACACTGTAAGATTCCCTATAATATGATTCAGATTCTTCTTCTTTTTCTTCTTCTTCTTCTTCTTCTTCTTCTTCTTCTTCTGTTTCTTCAAGATCCACATTTGTTACATGATTTCTCAAATTTATTGCTATTTCTTTGTTATGATTATTTTCTGAATATTTTTCTTGTTTTGATTCTTCATTATCACATTCTTTTATATTTTCTTCATCAATATCTTCCTAAGCATTAAAAAAATTTAATTAACATAATAAATATTTAATAAATTACTATATTATTTTAAATGAAGAAACATTTACTTTTTTCTTTGGCATATAAAAACCAGCTAAAGGTGTATGAAGATCTTCAGCTTTTTTAGCATTGGAATCTACAGTCTGTGTTACTTTTGGTTCAGTTCTTAAATGATTAATTCCTATTTTTTCTTTTTCTAGCTGATATGTTAATGCAATTACTTTTATATCGGTAGCTGATAAACTACTGTAATCACCAGTTTTTTTAGCAAATTCTGTTACTGTAAATATTAAGTAAAAATTAATAAACATTAAACTCATGTATTAAAGTATTATTTGAATAAAATCAAATCTTTTTACCAAATTTAATATTTTCAGGATATGCATTTTGTATTTTTAAGTCATATGGTAAAACAACAAGTCTTCTCAATTGTCTTTTACTTGTAACTTCATTTACTACATCTTGCTCTGTTATTATATTTACACCAATATCCTAGAATTCATATATTTTGTTATTACATTACTAACAGTTATACAATATTACAAAATTATACGACAGCAATATTAAATATTTCATATTTTTGAGAATATAATTAAAGAACTAAAACTTCGATAGACAATTGTTTTACGTAAATATTATAAAGAAATACTGTATCTATTTTACGTATTTTTCACGGAATTTCGTGAAATTTTTTTTAAATTTCCCATAGATACATAATCTAATCTGCAATAAATGTTACAAACACTACTAAAAAAATAGGTAAATTTTATTAACATTACATTTATATAAGAAAAACTTCACCTGCAAAGGTGCATTCCGGATAAAAGCACTTGTATCAACAATTAAATATTGCACTTTCTGTGTTTCATTCATATTTAGCAATTTTTATAACATAAATCTTTCACAAGAACATATCCATGTGCGTTACAGATATATTAAGGTTAGTACACGTTTTTATGAATGTTACATACATATGTATACATCAAGTATGGTGTGTATATATATATATATATGCATTAATTTTAAACTCAAATAGCTATAAATTAATTTTATTTATTTATAAATTATAATCATTTTAATATTACGAAGATATAACAAAAATTTCATTAATTTAAATATTAAACGTTAGATATACATATATCATAGGTTAAACTTTTTCATGTAAAGAATCCTTAAAAATATGGCATTTATTGTTTTCCGTTATTATTAGTGATTGACTAGTGTTTAACCAAAAAAAGTGTAATTAGGTATCAATTATTTTGTTATATCAGTCATTAGTATCCTTAAATGTTTAAAATTTGTTTAAAAAGAATTCGAATATTAAATCTTAAATTAAATTGGAAACTAATAATTATACTGTCTACCAACTTTGTAAGAACTAACGTTTATGATTACTTTGTTATACTCCATAATATTAATATTATATATATATAATTTATAAAAATAAAATAAAATTTGTTAAGATAATTAAAAATTAAAGGGATTAGAATAATATTAATATTATATTAAAAATATATATAAGAATGTATAAATGCTTTTAAATTATATTTGAAAACACAGACAAAGCAAATAACATACATAAAGTATTAATTGTGAAAGGGGAATCCTTTTGTTAGTATAATAAAAATGGAACAAATGTATATATGTTTAAGAGAAGAATTCTTATCAGCTGCACATCATCACATTAATAGAAATACATTGAATACACTTAAGGAATATTATATGCAATATATAGATTCAAATCGCAAATTAAGTCAGATTAAAGATTTAATGACATTAGTGAAAATATTAGAAAAACGTGATATTTTAAGCTGTTATAATGTGACACCACTTTTACATATTTCAAGTTATTTTTCAAATGAGTCTTTGCAAAGCAAAATAAAGGATTATAATATTTATGTTAAAAGTATACCATCTTTTTTGTCTTGTAATATGTATCAAGAAACAAATGGTGAGTCAATTTTTTTTTTTTTCATTTTTTGAACTTTTATTTTGACAATATACTTTTAATTATGATAAATAATTATTTAATAATAGAAAATACAAATAAGGACAAATGTGAAATATCAAACACAACTAAAAATAGTTCATTACAAACATCTAATAAGCTTGAAGATGAATTTACATTACAATACGAGGATCAAAAAAGGAATGTTTGTACACAAGAAACTATAAAACAAATTTGTAAGAGCAATTTATTCATTATTGAATACATACATTATTATTAATTATTATTAATCCATAAAATTAAAATGAAAAATATTTTCTAAGTATCGCACTTAAGTGAAAGAATTGGTCGTTCTTGGAGAGATACTGTTAGAAATTTAGGTGTACCTGAATGCCAAATTGATATTATTGAAAAAAAATATCCTTTTGAGCTAAAAGAGCAGAGCTATCAAGTAAGATGTAATTATAATATGGATTTATTTTACATAAAACAATTTACATAAAAGTAACATAAATCATTTTTAGGCTTTGAAATTATATATGACCCAATATAGTAACAATAATTGGAAAATAAATTTAATAAATGCTCTAGAGAAAGCAAGACGTAGAGATCTGAAGGAACTTGTTGAAAAACTAGTATTAGAAAATTAGAATTGAATAATTAATTTAAGGGAAATTGAAAATAAAAAAATAACATGCATAAAAAGTAACTTATGTTTTTATATATTTGTAAGAAAAACTTAGACATAATCATTTTCCAAATAATTATGAAAACATTATTAAATATTATTATGCTACCTTAAAGTGAAATAGGTTGCTGTATTTTGTTACTGATTCACCATTTAGAAATAACAACCTAATGTATAGGTTTTTTTCAAAAAAGATCACAGCAGTTTTTATTCTTATAGTATAAATAACACAGAAAAATTGCTCAATCAAAAATTATAATAGTAATTGTAATTCATCTATGCTGTATTTTTAAAAAAATACAGCAACCTGTATACGTTTTATAATCTATTTTTAAATTATATATTATAATGATATAAATTTTATACATATTAACTGTTGTTCAGTGATTTTACTAAGAAAATATGTAGTTACCATAAAAATTTAGATTTTGAAGATTTTTAAATTTTTGTTTAATTTATTTGGTTTTGTAATCTAAATTTTGGGTAATATCCATATTAATAATGTATATGTGATATTATTTGAAAAAATTTTAATGAATAGTGATAGTAACATAATATTAATAGGATTTAAACAATATAGGCATTCTTTGTTTGACTTCCTACTTTGACCATAACATCTTTATGTATTTGGTAGCCTATAGTAACTTTTGATGCAATTTTTAATCTTTCTCTTAATTTGCGTCTGTAGAAAAAACAATGAAATAATTAGTTTACGTGTAAATAAAATGTGTAAATAAATTTTTTCATAGAAATATATGTTATATACCCAATTTCCATAACGCTCTCTTCACTATTGGCATTTGCAGTCCATACACCAAGTTTATCTCCTTTTGTCCTTATATTTACAACAGCCCCACAAATATCATCAGAATATTCGTTAAATGCTTCACCAATCATACATAAAAGAATTTCTAACCAAAAATGATCTAAATCTGTATTTCTTTGCTTTTTTTCTAAATTTATAAGCCATCTTCCACCACATTTATTCGCATCATCTTCCCACATAGGTCTGATTCCTTCTTTGAACATACTATAGTCACAACCTTGTCTTAATTCTGATGCTGCCTTTATATGATTATATAAACTGTCATTGAAATAAAAGTATTATTAATAAAAAAAAAGCTATAAGAATAATGAACAATCAAGTATCATCCAATTTTGAAGGATCTTTACCTCCAAAAATCTTCAGCCGTATCAAAGCTTGTAATTTTCCTTTGACTCTCTTCCCATGTTTTATTTCTGTCTGGTTCATAATACCAAAGGGTCCACGTATGTTGAAGTGGATGTTTAATTAAAACCTCTGGCGGGAATTCATCAAAGTTTACTACTTCTTGCTCCTTCCTCTCAACTTCCTGCAAATTAATTTCACACACAGACTTTTTAATCCTAGTCTCAGTTACCTCACATCAATTTCATTCATTTCATACATATATTAAATATTAATGATTGAATTTCATATTGCATACGAATCAAATGAATTGAAATAATATTGAAAATTATTTTAATATCAGTAATACAATATTTTTTCTTTTTAAGCTCGTTAGACAGTTTTCACTATGCTTGGGAGTAGATGGGAGGGGTAAGAGGCACATTGAAGTGACCACGCTGCTTTAAAAAAAATGTTTCATTTTTTTTCTAATGTTTGAATCATAGATACACTTGAAAAAGCTATCGTGTTATTTTTACAATTTACCTAATATTGGACAAATGTTAGAAAAAAAATACCTCAATTTCTTCTGTATTACTCGTAGCCATGTCACACAAACTACACGGACAATATGCTCGTTCAGTGAACTAACTGCAAGGGCATCTGTCGGCAAAATTTTTACACGAAATTTCCTTTCCCTAAGATAGAAATGTGAAATTGAGTCGGCGCACACCGGGAGATCGCCGCAACAAAATTTTAAGCAAGATAATTAGGCGAGGAATGAAACGATCATCAGTTCTAACTATATTACAATAATATAAGAAAAAAAGAAAAAGAAACAATTGAGAAACACGATTCTATATCTAATTTTTTTTTAACTTTTTTTCTTTTTGATGTTGAGCTAATATTATTTTAGTGTTGCAGGAATTTTTTTTAATGTAATGCATCATTTTATCTGATATAACGACACTGATTGCATTTGTTTCATCTTCTACTCTCTTCTTTTTTTTCACTTATACATTTGTTTTTTTCTGATAATTTTTTCTAACATTTCGATAAATATATAATTAGTTATTATCATTTTGACGTCCTTTCAAATAAAGTATTGTATGTAAAATAAATCGTATATGAGATATTTAATCTAAGTTACGTTCTAAAAATATAAAGTAATTTATAAGTGAAAATAAAATTTTATTCAATATATGTTTAAAAAATTATGTGTATATAGAAAAAGCAGAAACAGATTATTTCTATAATAATTACATGTTAATCATTCTGTTCGTTTAACATAAAAATGTTTGAAATAGGGGTTGGTATCCCTGCATTTTAATAACCACTAGGTTGACACAAATGGTTCTCGTTTGTCGTACAATGTATTTACATTATAATTTAGGGAACGAAATTTGTCTGTAAAGATTGTCAGCAATTCTATCTTCAGTATGAAACGTTCGGTAAAAATTTATTCTTCTATTTCTCATAATTTTATAGTAATAATAATAATAATACTAGTTATAATAAGTAATATTCTTAAAGAAGGTTAGTTTGATAGCGGTTCTGTGGAATATTTTTATATATTTAACCAACCGGCTCAATCTTTCAATATTGATAATATTTAATGAATGATTTTATATATTTCATGATAACAAAATTTTTATATATTTTTCTAGTTTTAATTCATAATTGTTCACTTTTCAGATAACTGAAGAAAATGGGGAAACAAAAAGATCTTTTGTTAAGCAAGAGTGTATTAATTTCGGATATGAAAGTTCCTATCCAGCTTATACTTCATCCTCTTCATCTCCTTCAACTGTTACACAACCTTTACCAGGACAACCACCGTTACCTCCTATGCCACCTCCTCCTTCTAGTGGTGTTCCACCACCTCCACATGTATTTGGACCAGTGCCTTCTCAAGTTACACCAATACAAGCATGGACACATCCTTCTGCACCATGGCAATGGATAACACCTCAAACATCTCCTTTACCTCCACTACCCCCACGTGATATAACTGCAAGTTCATTTCAAAGAGAAATGCCTCTTAGAGGTAACTGCATGAGAAGAGAAAGATTTACACACAATAAAAATAGTATATATATTCAAAGAAATAATTTTCATCGTAAAAATAGAAGACTTGCTCGTTTTGGACATACTCAGAGTCAATTTGATCAAGCAGCATATTTTGGTGCAACATTGAGTAATAGTCTTGGTTTGGAATGGCAAAGAAATAATTACACTCCATCTACAGGCGATACAATCATGAATCACATGCCCGTTCCTCTTTCTAATCATCCTTTGCCTCCTATACCACCAGGAATTTTGACAAATAGACATGGAGATGAAACTTCAGACCAAGAAGTTAAAGTTGTTCTGGTAAGGAACAAGATCACAAATATATTTAACAAATATAACAAATATATTTATTTTATTTAATTACTCATTATTTGTTTTAGGAAGAAGTTATTGTTAAGAAGAATAAACAAAGAAAACCTATGTCCCAAAGTTATCCTAGTCGTCCATGGAATAGAGAAGATGCAGAAAGAGCTTTGAAAGTTGAAAATGAATATAACAAGACAGTTAAAGCACAAAGTTTAATAATTAAATTTCCAGATCCTGATTTGAATAAAGATATTGTTAGGGAATTTCACCCTGGTATACAAAATATTCATTTTCAAAGTCCTAGTGGTCCTAGATATTGTTTTATACAGATGGCAGAAAGTGTTGATATCGACGAAGCTATAAAAGAGTTGGAAAAGATACCTTTTGGAGTAGGTCATCTGAAAGTTGAAAGAAAATCTCTAAGGGATGAAGATAATCCCATGCCTGAAGAAATAGATCCTTATACATTATACATAGGAAATTTACCAGAATCTGTTAATGTTAATGAAGTAAAAAGTAAATTTCCAACAGCTGCTCGGGTAGATGTAGGCTATGCACAGAAAATGAGGAATACTCGGTAAGTTATTTATTTCATAAAATTTGTAATAATATCACATTTTTTTATAATACATATTCTGATTTGTTTTATAGGTATGCTTTTATAAGGTATAATAGTGTAGATGAATCTATATCTGCTTATAAACAAGCACATAATTTAATGTGGGATACCAGAAGTATTATTGTTAGGTTTAGGAGACAGCGCGGTAATACTTGTCTTCCTGGAGAACCTAAACCTAATGTTAAAAAGGTTAAAGAAGAACCAAATAGTAATTCACAAGTAAAAAAAGAACAAAAAGCTAATCATACTGAAAAAAGTGGAACAAAATTAGAAACTGATGTAGAAAATAGAATACAAGATAATTCTACTAATTCACAAAGTAAAGTGCAAAATAAAACACCATCTCAGGTTCAAAACACCATTCAAGAACAAAATACAAATTTACAATCATCTTCTTCCTCTATACCAACCTCGGTTGCATCAGCTAAATCAGCACAGCAACAACAACCATGGGTGAGATATATACATATAAATATATGTATATTGCTTCTTTTGCATTGGAAAAATAGACGAGGAAGATTAAAAATTAATTTTTTTTTTAGACTGGCCAGTCATCTCAAATACCTTCAGCTTCTGAACCTCCACCAGAAAGAGAAACTTGTTCAGCAGAAAAAGAATCGGTTGCAGAAACAATAATGCTTACAGAAATTAAGGAAGAGCCAGAAGATTATGAAGAAATGGAAATGTCATGTAATATTCGATCTGATGATGATATAGATGATGATGTAGATGACGATGACGATGATGATGATGAAGAAGAAGAAGATAATTCAGATGACAATGATGATGATAACGAAGACGATTATGAAGATGATGAGGAAGATATAGATGAAAGTGGAAACTTATCATTGAATAATAAACAAGAAGATGTTACAGAAGATAACGAACCATCTGATGTATGTAAAATATTTAATCACTATATATATATTAAAAATAAAATAAATCTTTGAATAACATATATTTTCATATATTTTGTTTCAGCATCTTGACCAAATGTTTAGTGAATTAGAAAACATGACTGGTGATATTGGTTTTTAATACATTGAATTAATTGAACTCCCACACTAATTAATATCCGATGTTTAAAAAAAATTACAATTTGTAAATAATTCTAGTTCAAAAGCGAAATGTGTAACGAGTAAGACTGCATTTATTTAAGTACAATGTTAGTAATTCAGTTACTTTTGTACTGATATGTTTTTACTTTATAAATTTTTACGCTTACATGTATCCATAAAATTCTTTGTGTAAACAATTGTGAATATCTCATTAAAATTATTTTCCGTATTTTTAGTTAGGTCCTTTTTTTGAAAACATTTTTCCCAAGATTAATTAATATAAATCTTAATATTCTTTAAGATTTACTTTGTAATGAGAAACCGTCGAAACGTTATATTTTTAATTAATTTCTTTTTCTTTTTAAATATTTTATATGAGAAACTATTTACTACATGAACTGGAGATTCTTGGTTTTTTTTTATTTGCCTTGCTATTCATATATTAGCGACTTGTATGTCAAAGTAAAATTTTCATATATATTACAAATGACATACAAGAGGACTGTTCTTTTTTTACGTAACATAAATAAATTACAATTCATATTATATTGGTAGTGTTTTATTAGATTGAAATTAAATTAAGTGAATGAAGTGTAAAAGTATACTTTGTAGGAAAATCAAAATTTGGAAAGTAAATGTAATTTCCGGAATGAAGTGCCATCTACTTCCTGGTCATTCGGCGGTAAGAAAGCGCGGGTATCGTTACCAGTGTAGTGCCACTTTTAATTGTCGGTACACTCGTCAATTGTGTGAGCCAGAAATTGAGAAAAATTAGTAAAAATGTTTGAAGCACGTTTAGTACAGAGTGCAATTTTGAAGAAAGTGTTAGATGCAATAAAAGATCTTTTAACTGAAGCCACCTTCGAATGTTCTGATTCGGGTATCCAAGTACAAGCTATGGACAATGCTCATGTTTCTTTAGTTTCTCTTAATCTTAGAAGTGACGGTTTTGATAAATATAGATGCGATAGAAATTTATCAATGGGCATGAGCATTGCGTGGTAAGATAATTTCAATGTAAAATTTATGAAGGTTATGTTTTCTTTTTTTGTAGTAGAATAAAGAATAGATCCTTTTAAACAAAAGAAATATTTGTTTAAAATTCTACCTTTTGATAAGAACAAAGTGTTTCATGTTTTTAAGTTTACATAACAAAATAAAGTTATATTAATTTTAAATAATGAAAATTAACAAACTGTTTTTTAGCATGTCCAAAATTCTACGATGTGCTGGTTCAGAAGACACAGTAACATTGCGAGCAGTAGATAATCCAGAAAATATTACGTTTATATTTGAATCACCAAATAAAGAGAAACTTGCAGAATATGAAATGAAACTTATAAATATGGACCAAGAACATCTTGGTATTCCTGTAAGATTCTATATACGTTATTATTATATATAGGACTCATTTTATAGAGAATGTAATTACAGAATTTATTAGTATTAGTAATATAATAATATTGTAATACATTATTATATAGAACTTATTTTTAAAAGAATATAATTATAGAATTTATTAATTGTTATAGGAGACCTCATATTCGTGTGTTGTAAAAATGCCATCTCAAGAATTTTCACGTATTTGTAGAGATTTAAGCCAATTTGGAGAATCAATAACATTTGCATGTTCTAAAGAAGGCATAAAGTTTAGTGCTACTGGAGATTATGGACAAGGTACAGTAAATTGTATTATGCAATAAGAGAGAATAACAGAAAGGACTGTATTAGTTTAATTATTTTAATTATATAATACTTACATTAATTAAATAATATTTGCTGTGAGCCCGTAACATCTTGTAGTTCATACACTGTTGAAACACAGGAACTACACAGTAACTGCCCGAGATTATGTTCTAAAATGTTCTGAAAAATATTCATTTGTTTGACCTTCATTGTTATGAAGAGTAGGTCATATATGCGTTTATGTATATGTTTGTTTATATTTATACTTAAAGGAAATATTTCTTCCTGTAATAAAATTCATTAAAATACAAATGAATTATGAAAAATGTGTATTGCAAAATGTAAAAATATATCTATACAATTAATTGTTATAAATTACAGTTGCACTCATGTAAATTATTTTTTTCCAGCCACTGTTAAATTAGCACAAACAGCAGATGCAGATAATGAAGAAGAAGCAGTGGTTGTTAATATGCAAGAACCAGTAAAACTAACATTTTCATGTCGTTATCTTAATTGTTTTATAAAGGCTGGGCCCCTGTGTGCACAAGTACAACTATCAATGTCTAATGATGTGCCCTTAGTATGTGAATACAAAATTGGAGACATTGGGCATATTAGATATTATTTGGCACCAAAAATTGACGATGACGAAGAAAATTAAATTTTTGAACACTTTCAGATTCTTAAATGTCTCTTTTAGTATATAAACCATAACATCAATAGAATGTATTGTAGCATTACTTTAACTTCATGTGTTTCGATTTTTTTAGTTTTGTATTTATCATATTATCAAAGATTAAGTATTTTCAAGATTTTACTAAAAACAAAATAATCGTATTACTTAGATAAAAAAAGGTATATTTTGATATTCATTATTGAGGAACGATTAAGGATAATTAAAAATACTTTGAAGGTCGTATATTTAAATTTTACATTTAAAAGTCATTTGGCTCGTCACAGTGTTAGCGCAACGTAGAATTGACACTAAGATTCATAATAGAGTGACACGATCATGATTAACATGGTAATGTGGTGTCAATCTTATAAGATTCATATTGTTACCGTCTCATAAACTGTGACAATATTTTGATAATGTTGCATTTTTTATATGTAAGAAGAACTCAATATATTTCCAAAACATTTGATAAATTTTGAATTATGTGTTATTCCTTATACCCTAGCCTAATTGAAATTCAAATTTTTCCTTATTTTTAATTATCTTATTTCTTATACTTTTTGTGTATAAGCTAGTTTAATATAAAAATACATAATTAGTTTACGAGCTGAGGGAATAAGTGGGCTACCGTGGATGGAATAGCCTAGAAGTATACAGTTAAATCTTACATAATTTGGATTTTATATAGTTACTAAATAATTATATATTAATCAATAGATGTGATTTATACTATGAATTATTTTACACGCACATACTGCGAAGACCTGTATATCGTTAATCCTTAATCTTACACGTTTAAATGAAATTTGTAATCAAAATAAATATTTTTCATATCTTGTTTTATATTCAAAAAACGAATTTAAATAGCAACGAAACGAGACACTTTGGCAATAGTAATCAGCCTCTTTGGTTTTAAAGCCCTGGTATTGCTTTTGTGTTTTTAACATAATAGTTTCACATTTAAAATTAAAACGATTATTTTTATACATAATAAAATTGATGGAAAATATGTATTCACATTAATTACGAAAAAAGAATACCGAAGTTATCCATTTAAGGTGAAATAAAACTAATCAAGCTGTTAATACCTACTCATTTTCAAAGAAGATGTCACGTGCATCAATAATATTTAATTATTTGGACCAATTTGACTTGTTTATATGGGATTATCAATGCATATACTGTTCCTTCAGTCTATAAATATAATTTTAAAAAGTATAAGATGATGTCGCGTGACATTTACCCTGTAAATGAAGTATTAACAAGAAAAAGAACATGTACAATTGAAAAATTATATATGGGCTTAAGCATTCGCGTTGCCATTACTCCCATATAGGCTGGGATGTACATATTTGTCATGCAATGTCCTTAAATGCCTTAGTAAATTACTTTTTACGTTAAAGCCTTTTTTACAATAGGAACAAAGAAAAGGCTTTTCCCCTGTATGCGTTCTTTGGTGAATTACCATCGATGCATGACTTGGAAATTCTTTTTGACAAATGTTGCATAATTTTTGATGACTGTGAACCCTTTTTGGTTTAGGAGGTGCGGAGTTGTTCATCAGAGCTAATTGTTCTTCTGTGTGTTCCGTTTGTATATGGCGTACCCATTCTTGCGGCGTTGAATACATATTACCACAAAGATCACATTTTAAAGGAGGAAAATCCTTGCTGTCATCATCCACATCACCCTGTGATGTGAAAAACATGCACATAATGATGATCTCATTTAACATCCAAAAAATATTAAGTAATATTTATGTTCTTACCTTCCTCTTTTTTCTTCGATTTTCAGTCATATCAGCATGTGTAAATTCAATGTGTCTCACCCAGTCTGATGGCCGATTAAATGTTTGACTGCACATGTCGCACGTTAACGGGCTATATTCTTCCTCCTCATCTGCGCTATGTACGATTTCCTGCAATGAATAATATGATATGGTATTAAAAAGAATTTCTTACATACATCATTTATTTGAGACAATGTTTTTGTCTCGTACGTACAAATACTACGTACTGGTTTTATATCGATCTCGTGGTCTATCGTTAATGACTCCGATGGATCAATAGTTTCCTCCCAAATTGGTTCGTCTTTTACTAAAAGTTCCAGGTTCAATTCGGTCTGAAACGTGGGACAAAATGAGAATATTTTATTCTATTTGATAAATTCTATCATATAAGATCATCTTACGTTTTCACCATCTTCGCTTTTAGACTTATTAGACTCCACATCACTGTTAGTAGTTTTTCTTTTTTTTCCATTGGTTTCCACATTTTCCTTATTCTTGTTCTGTTCGTTATTTTTATTTTCCTCCAAAACTTTCTTAGACTCTGGTTCGCTAATCTTCTCCTCAATTTTTTCAATACTCTTTCTCTCTGAGGTAGGTTTCTGAGGTTGAACGTTATTTTGCATCGGTGTGGTCTGTTGCGTATTCTCGACGATTTTCTCCGTACTTGGTTGAACCAGTTTGATTTTTTGAATTTGACCGGTTAAAGGTGGCTGTTCCCGCTTATCTCGCTCCACCTTCTGATTATTCGACTGTATATTCTCCTTTTTACTTCCGGTATTAGATCTCCATAAACCTCGTACGCGCAGTATATCACCCGCTTTTAAAACACCTTCTAATTGATCATTTGTCACCGTGGCTTCGCCGCTGTACATGTATTGAATTAGAATTTTTAATGTGCGATATCCAATTTCTGTTGGTAATACCTGTAGTATAATATTACACTATTGATTTGTCTCGTACGATTTATCCGTTAAAAGACCAATAATGGAACGAGGAAAGATATACGAACCACGATTATTGGAGCGTTTGTATTTGCACCAAAGTGGCATGTTTGAAAAATATGACTGAGATACGATGAACAAGCGGCAAGGACAAATCGATGAGCCGCCACGTGCCGGCCGCAGGATGTTGCTAACAAAACATCTGCGAAGGATTCTGAATGGAGTAACGTCGCGACAGAGCTGTGCAGATGCGCGCCATAGCTGTGCCATTTAAGTTGATAATTCTCCGAAGCGGCGATGGCCATCTTTTCTATATCGTTGACAAACAGGAAAAAAAGCATTTCGTTACGGACTTTATAGTGGACAATGCCTAATAATATATATATTTTATTGTTGTATTTATTAAGCCTGTTGCGCCAACCGCGTTTCATTTATATTAGTGCAATTTTTGTATCGTACGTACACGAGAGAATTTTGTAAAATAATATGCAATAAAAAATTGATAGAAGAATTTCAAGAAAATAATAATTTGTTTCATTAAGATTTAACGATGTCAATAATTTTGCAAAAATATCATTACTGTTTCTTTCTCTAATATTTGCATACTTTCCTTCGTATAGTAAACAAATAATCGTTATTTCGCAATAATTGTCCACGATTATTTTATTACTAACATTCTATTTGAATATCAGAGCAGTGCACAATAAATGTCGAAGACACTTTGTCTGCGAATTTCTTTTCTTTTGATCGAACTCGGATCTCGCGACGTCGAACGTTTCCCAATATATTTGTTTCCGTTCCTAAAATCACAGGGAGAAACATCACGAAGAAAGTGTTATGATACAGATGTTGGCTCGATTTCTATGCAATGTTAAACGAATTTCGAACGAAATACCGGAATGGTAATGAAATAATTACGCACTCTCTTCAGCACCCCACATTCACACCCTCTGAATCCTCGTTAACGTTCAACGATCGTGCACGTTGTACACAATGCCTTTTGGAAAAAAGGAATCCTGTTACGCGGGACAAAACGTCGTCGACTCGAAATCAATGATTTTAGATCGTTTTCCGTAGCGAGGATCACTGATTGCTCAGCGCGTAAACGGTTGCATGATATTGCCGCTCGTCGCACGAACGTCGAAGCACAGAGAACAAAAATCTCAGCTGCAAAGCGTTTCACCAGCGCGTCGTTACGTTTGTCAACGTGGTTACCTGACGACATTGGCCAGAACTTCGCTACGCGTCACCCGGCTTCACTTCTCTCCTGTTTCTCTTATTTTTAATTGTAACACGATAATCTTCAAGATCTGCGGCACCACACAGTGTGTCTCGCACGCGTCGTTGGTGTTTTGAAAGGCGCTTCGCGCGGATACGGGACACGGGGCAGATATGAGCATCGAACCGCCGCGTAGGGACCTAAAAATCGATATTTCGGTCTTTGCTCCATCCTCTCCGGCGGTGCAGCCGTGCTCGCTTTCGCGGCTAGGTAGGGTGCCCCCCTGTTCATCATCGATTTTCCCGGCTACCAATCGCACGCATCCATTTATCGCATCGATCGCCCGAGCTGATTTCAGCGTTTGCGTCCGTCCGTCCATCCGCCCGCTCCACGATTCATACCCGTGCACCCCGCCGCACCCGGCCCCTTTCCCCACACCCTGCTCTACATCCCGTCCTCTGTTCAACCTCCCACCCTGAAACCACCTCGCCAGCTACTACCTTAAGCCGTATAGACGCGACTAAATGCGACCCTTCACGATCCTTTTCGTCAGCGACGCCGGACACCACGATATCCCTTGGCCTGCGTTATCCACGATGCCTCAATGTTGATTCTGTTGCCTGTTGATATCCCTTAGCCTCTCTCCCTTAGCTCGCTTCTTGCCACACGATCTTTTCACGTTGTTCGGCTAATGCACTCTTGATCGGCAATTTTTGAACATTTGCTAATTGTTAAAAACAGTTAACTACGAGTTAACTCGTAGCCGATCAATAATGTGTTAGTATATTTGACGCTCGTTACAAATCGGAGCGTACCGATCACGTTAAAACATACAAGATTAAAGAGTCTCTTGTCGTCTTTAGCGATGCGTTGTGTATATTGATTTTTTCAAATTTGCGTAATGGTTTTACGACGTGGCATCGGCAGTCTAGGGTTCGGTCAAATGTAATCGGCGCAATCTTTGTTTGTGGCTCGATTTGTTTAATTTAAAAGTACGTCATTATTTGTCGAGACAGGTGACATTTTTTTTTCTACAAAAAAACTTAAATTCAGGTGGCTGAACTTAAATTCAAAAGAGATAGTAAAAGAGATATACGTTATTAATACGTTAGCTTACCTATTGTACGCTATGTTATTATATCGTTTAACGATCGCTTTTTTTCTCTTAAGAATATACGTTGTTATTCAATATTATAGCAGTATAAACATCGAATAAAATATCACGATGTTTCTTCAAATCTCCTTGTAATATAGTTCATTAATTTGAAATACTTGATCTATAGATCTTTATGAGGCAATATTATAGGGTTAATTTGTGCAGTAAAATTTTAGGATCGCCGATAATTTGTTCCTAAACATACCTGAAGATGGCGTTCATAGTGAGATTCTTCGATTTTCAAGATTTTGTTTGAATGTGCGCACGTGTATATGTGACGATGTACTGCATTGCGTCGACGACCCATTTTGCAATATAGAAGCGATAAGTTGCACACCCTCCTGCCATTAAATAATCAATCCTATGGTTTGAACTGCGATTCCCTATGTGCATAATCAATCTGCGTGATCACTGTCATTCCTTCAGTGTGTTTCAATCTAAATTAATTAAAAAGTTTATACTGGTTAGACAATTAAGAATTTATCTTTTCATATTTTTTTGGAAATTCTGCTTCGTTGTACAAATGAATATTACTAACAGTAACAGACATAAGTGGAGTATCTGAAGACGCGATTCAATGCGATTTTTACGCATTCTCGTGCGTTTAAAGTCACAAGTCTTCTTTTATTATCGATTTTTCGCTGAATGTATCGCACTTGAAATCGAAATCGGTTTCTGGGCTAGGTCACGTGGCAATAAGATCACGTGGCGTTTCTGCATACTCCGTTAGAGGGAAGCACAGGTAATCTCGAGCAAACACGATGGCCAACAATTCTTTCCCGTAAATATATACGTTATTGTCATCGAGATAAGGTCGCTTGACTAAAACTATGCAACGGCTTTTCAAAACGTAATGCATGTCGCGGCATTAGAGACTCTATCAAGGGTGCGTAAATGTTATTTGTATGTCACGTGCCGAAGTGTGACCTACAAGTGAATTTTCGTTTCTGAATTTTCTTTGGCTATGATCCTTTAGCTGGTGAAGTCGGTGGCCTCCGTGAGACAGTAGCGATGCTGTCTCGAAAGTGAGTTCATGGCTGTTTATAGAACGCGGAAGAAAGTAAACGAACCCGTTTAATCTGTTTAAAACGACGATTTTCATAAAATATGAGTGTCATCGTGTTTTCTGCAATGGAAACAATTAGGTTACGTTGACATTGAGCGCAGTTCTATAGAAGTACTGAACAACACGAGCAATTTGTACGGTAGGTTGATCTTTTATTTATATAAACTAACAATGTACGTGAAAGCGCACACTAGTTAGTGTTCCGAATTTAGACATCTGTAAATAATCTTTGTAAAGGTTGAATAAAGTAAAACAAAATCTGTATGAATCAGTGTGGTTATTCTCGAAATGTGTTGCAGTTTATTGACAGAGGGTAGATAAAGAATCAAGATGAAATATGATTGCTTGAACATTCATATGATGACGTTAAATAATCACTATGTAGCTCTAACGAATTATCTCGTACAAATTGGGTGTTACATATTTGTATATACAAGCAGTGTGTAAAGCAATCTGCTTACATTCACAAAATGCCACACATAACACGAAAATGGGAACTTTTCCCAGGCAGAAATCGATTTTGTTGTGATGGTAGAGTAATGATGGCACCACAAACTGGAGTATTTTACGTGACTGTGTGCCTCATAGCTGGAACAAGTGGATTATTCTTTGCTTTCGAGTAAGACTGTTTTTATACAAATCATTATATACACAACTACATAAGATGTAATTCTAATAGTTTCACGTATTTTTTTTTTAGCTGTCCATTTTTAGCAGTTCATATAACACCAGCTATACCAGTTATTGGTGCTCTGCTATTTATTTTTGTAATGTCTGCTTTGTTCAGAACAAGCTTCAGTGATCCTGGAGTTATTCCAAGAGCAACGCTTGATGAAGCTGCTTATATTGAAAAACAAATTGGTACATACAAATATACTTTCTACAAATAAATCTTATTAATTTTACGTTTTAATATATTATAAAAATTATATTCAATTTTATTGATGGATTTTATTTTAATTAAAAAATTTTGTTTTTTACATATTGGTAAAGAGGTACCAAACAATGGTAATTCTAAAATGTATAGACCCCCACCTCGAACAAAAGAGGTATTAGTCAAAGGACAGCCAGTGAAGTTAAAATACTGTTTTACTTGTAAAATATTTAGACCACCAAGAGCTTCACATTGTAGCTTATGTGATAATTGTGTAGGTATGTATATTTTTTGTTTCTTTACGACTGATTTTGTAAAAATTACTTTTATATGAATCTAGAAGTATATAATATATTTTTAGAGAGATTTGATCATCATTGTCCATGGGTGGGAAATTGTGTTGGCAGAAGAAATTACAGATATTTTTATGCCTTTATTGTGTCCTTGGCATTTCTTTGCGTTTTTATATTTGCATGCGCTGTTACACACTTAATAATGCGTAAGTAAATTAATTAAAAGAATGAATGGTAAAATAATTAGATTAGAAATGTTAAAATTTTTTATTTATTTAATTATAGTTACAAGAGATGAAAGGCCATTTTTAGAAGCAGTAAAGATATCTCCTGGAAGTGTTGTTGTAGCAATTATATGCTTTTTTTCTGTTTGGAGTATTCTTGGTCTTGCTGGTTTTCATACATATTTAACTACTAGCAATCAGACAACTAACGAGGATGTAAATATTATTTTTAACCTATACCTATTATAATTATTAAATAATAATCATTACATAATTTTAAAATAATGTAAATCATTTTTATAGATTAAGGGATCATTTTCTATTAAAACAGGACAAGAAAGTTTTAATCTGTATAGCCAAGGAAATATATGTGGAAATTGTTTCTACGTATTATGTGGACCAGCACCACCTAGTTTAATCGGTAACTCTTTTAATTTCTTGATTTTAATTAAATTATTTTCATATTCTAATTTTTGGATATCGATTGTTATAGATCGAAGAGGTATAGTAACACCTGAATATCGCGCAGAACAAGAAAGAGTTGGTGGTGACAGTGTAATTACTAATAATAAAACGTATGGTACAGTGAAAATCGTACAACCACAGGTATTGAAATCAATTTCCTTATATTCTATATACGTTATTATTTATATATAGTTTTTTTTCTGTTTTTATGATTGCAGTCTAATGGTACAACCGTTCAAGCAAATCCCAGTCCCGATCTCACAGGTTCCATGAATAATCTCGTTTCTGGGCAACATTCACCACAAATTGAATCAATAAACGGTGAGTTAAGCCTTTTAAGGCATACCGCACATTATCCCGAAGATCTTCCAAAATATCCACGACACTACATTAATGATATCTATGCTCAGGCATATGCGCGACAACATTGTTTTCAGGAACCTATGAAACATGTAAAGTATGATACAGAAATAGCAAATCCAGATTTTCAAAAATATCCTTGTAGGTGTGAAGAAAATTTACATAAATATTCTCATAGGTGTAGAGAAGAGTACCATAGATGCTCAGATAATAATTTAATATACGACCAGTGTGTCGGCGATCAAAAATATGGTATTGATCTTCAAAAATATCCACAAAGATATTCCGAGGATCCTATACGATATAAAATTGATGATAAAGCCGTTTATACTGATCTCCAAAAATTTCCACAATGCTATTCTGAAGATCCATTACGAATTTCTCAATCTCAACATACCCTTAAGTATAATAACCTGAGATGCACTGTTCACGGTTTAAAATATCCAATATCAAAGAATCTCTTGCCAACTGTTGTAATGTCACGTATATTAGGGACAGAAGGAATGCCAATTATTGGTCAAAATGCAATAGGACTTGCAGTTAACAGATTTGGTTCAGGACCTTTAACTAATGCTTTTTCTTATGCAGACAATACTTTATGTCCAAATGATAATACTGAAGAAGATCTTTTAAATCGGAGATTTATTATGAGCTCAATAAGCGATAATGATGATATTTAATTTTCATTAAAAATAATTTTTTTCTTTAACATTTTGAAATGATACTGTTTCATTTATTGAAAAATATTTAACGGCTATGACACACTTGTGTGTTAAAAAATTTTTTTAGTGTTAGAATCAAAATAGTAATATAAGTTTTAATGTTCTATCCCTTTACTATTAGCAGATGCTTATAAACAAAATTTTAAATAAAATTTAATAAATGTGTATATAAATATTAGTGAAAGTAATAATATATAAAATGATATTATGAATATTAACAAAAGTAATCATTATTACGATGATTGTTCATGTTTTAGTACTTATATAGATCTTTATAAACAAAACATTCAAGTTGAATTTGATTGTTATTAATAGAGATTTATTTATTTTTCGACTATTCAATTTGGTATTGAATATATAGATATTTTTTTTAATGAAAGAGAAAGAAGAAATTAATATTCTTGTTATAATGTTATATATCTTGACTGAGAATGGGACTGAAATACTAGTTTCATTATAATTTTTAATACTTCATTATGTTGTACTTTTTAAAAATACGCAGATAATTAAAGTTATTTAGTTTTACATTATGTAGTATAATATAAGCAAATTGAAATATGATATATTTAATTCAAACTCATTTTGCAATGTTAATCTTTAATATTAAAAAGAAATTAATTTGAACATATAGATTTGAACCATCATCAAGTGTATAAAGTAACTAAGTTTTTTACTATTTAGCCGTACTTTTACACAATTCAATAAATTATATTTCTTTGTTGTTTAAAAATTACGTCCTGTTATCGAGGGCTCAGAGCATACCGTTTGGTAAGTTAATTTTGCTTTATTCCACTTGTCATTGTGTGTATGTTTAATACAAATGAACAGATATTTATTAATGTTAATAAACACTTTAAACACAATGTATACGTCCCACATTTTTGGAGACTAATTTCGAAATGTTACATCAATATGGTTTATGGATTGTGACTAATTAATTAGTTCTTATTACGGGCATTGGATTGTGAAAATACAATATGTATATAAATATATGTATAAATAAAAAATACGCACACAGTTTCACATATGTAAGGGATATTTTATAGATTTATGTTCATATGTGTAATGTTAAAATTATATAGTATACAACAATAATCATGTAAGTCGTTTATTACTATGATTTTTGGTTTTAGTTATATACACAAAAAAATATTAATACGTCACCTTTACTGCCTGGAATATTTTCTTTATTGCAATTTAGTTTTTATTTATTTCATTTATTTATGCAACAAAATTACACAGTCAGTACTGCACTTCTGCAATGAGCTACATTATATAATTTTTGTTGCTAATGAGCGTTTATAACGGCTTATTGGACTTCAGTGGCAATTATTGGAACTCTAATATTTTTTATATATTATTTATGACTTGTATATATGTATATAAATTTTTTAATACATTTTATTGTTATTGACATTTGTTTTTAGGTAGTACCACAAACAGCGTGAGTCAACTTGTTACCAATGAAGTACCACTAGCATCACTTAATATAGCTCCAATTGATATCGATGAAATTGCTCCGTTGCCTTCCCGTCAGAGTGTCGTGGTTTCATCCACGTTAGATACGTCCTCTATACCTTCGGTAACTGTAACAACACCTTTGTCTGCATCTAGACTTAGATTGTTACAAGATACTACCATGATAGAGTCTGCTTTAGACTTAGATTCGCTGGAAGATGCAAGCGTTGGTAGAGGCAGTCAAGCAGGACTTATAAAAATGGGAGCAGTCTAAACTAAATCTATTTTATCTAGTTAAATTTTATCTTAGATTATAGATTAAGTTTTTATCTAGTTAGATTATAGCTTTTAAAATCCTCTACGCTTACCAAAGAATAGTGCAGGTCGAATTCCATTTCTTTCTTTCTTATTGTATTCTTTGTATACCTATATAAAAATTTAATAATATTGTATACTTACGATATGTAGGCGCACAAAGTTTGTGCATGAGTAAGAGAGTGGAATTATTACTAGGTTTAGTTATAATTTGGTTAAATTTTAATTAATTTAATGAAAAGTTGAGTGTGACAGTGTAACATATTTTTATTTTTGATCTGCACTATTCGTTCATTACATTTAGCATTGTTAATTCCATTCCAGCCATTCACATCTTTCTTTTTTCATTATATAAAGTTAATAAATGAAAATATTCTCTATCTATTACATAATATATGTATAAAAGAACAGATTATAAAAATGTGGTGATTTGACATATATTCTTACTATTATATATAAACAGATGATATGTGGGTTAAGGAAAATGTATTACTTAATCATCTTTTAACATAAATTTATATACATATTTTTATGTTAACATAAACTCCAATTTCTTATTTTTATCATGCAATGTATTAGAATAACAGATTTCACTTCTAACTGGAATAATATCTATATTTTAAACAATAATATCTATATCAAATAAAGATTTTTCATTAAATATCGAATTAAAAATACGAAGAAAAAGTGTAGTAGTTAATGTATATGCAAATTATAATAGAAAATGTTTATACGTATTTAAACAAGATACTACTGAAAAAGAAAATTTGGAAAAATTATAATTTTTTATTTTATTACTAATTGCTACTAGCTAAATATTATTTAATTTTACTTTTCTACATTGGTAAACAAGTATTGTCTTGTTTAGTCAATTTGCTATGTACAGTGTAAAGAGACTTTTGTATATACAAGAATTTTCATAAACGTTAGTATAGTTTTGCAGGCATTTGAACAATTTGTTATAAGGCAATGTGAATTGAATCAAGCATTTTCAAAATAGAAGTATCACTGCCTAGTTTATAAATAACTTATGCATCGACATTGCATGTCATTATTTAATTTGGTATAATCATAAAATAAACATTATTTATATGGTGAATTAATGAAAAAAGAAACGATTTTACTAGTTGTCATTTTATCTTATAAGGATTGCCATTATATTGATTTTGAGAGTATTTTTTTGTACATATTTTGCGTGTATAATACTATATGTATATATTGTGTAGATGTTATCATGATAAGATAATATACCATAAGTTAAAACTAATATGTTATATCATATTTAAACCTATTTCAAAAATTCTTTAAGAGATACAAGATGATGATGATGATGCACGTAACTTCTTGAAATGTAGAAATAATTAAGTATTACAATAAATAGGAAAAAGTATTTTTATTCAATTGTCTTACATCAATTGTATACTTTTACAAAAATATTTAATTATGACATAAAATATTGGAATAAAATTATTGATACGATGTTATTTTTCGTGGATATCTTCAACGTTATACATGATTTATAATATAGGTTTATAATTTAATACTTTTACACAATAATTTACAAATATCGCGATCTGTCGAAGTCTCTGTATACATAAATATATCATCATCATGTTAAAACAAATGTTTTCAATTATTATCGTCATTTTTCATGCGCTGCGCGCTCCTAAATCATACTGACTTGTGTTAAAATGTACAGATTTTATACTTTACATGTTATAATAAAATATACATTCGTTCTTTTACATATAAATATTAATAAAGCTTTTGTATTATAATAGCAAGAATCACAATTAAAATTGCAATACTGAAACTTGCAATATATATTTTTGTTTGATGATTTCCAGATGAATCTATATTAAGATCAGTAGTTTTTACATCAATTTTATTTTGAGAATAAAATTCTGAAGGATCTGTTTTAAAAAAATTTATGATAATGCACATATATACAAATATTTTATGTAATTTTTTTTTTATAAACGTATAATACTTACCAGCTTCAAGTTCAATGTCTTTCTGAACATTATTTTCCTGAACCTCTAAGTCTAGTAGTTCTTGCAATGATAAAAGAGCTTCTTGAGGTCCTTCACCAGGAAATAGATAGTCTGACAATGTTACCTTACTTTCTGGTAATGCTATTAATACTCTTCTCGGAGGTTCGTGTAACGTTATATTTTCTGAGAGAAAATAATAAGATAAACAATTTTTTAGAAATTTAATTTAATAATTCTTTATATATTGAAATAAATACCTTCTGGAGATCCATTTTCCTCTTCAATTAAACTATCCCAATGCATTTCTAATCTACTTGCTAATGACCTTATTATGTCTTGCTTTATTGCGATATTAGCTTCTTCAACATTTGCTTTTTGATGAAGGAAAGTTCTACTTACTAATTGTCCAACCAAACGTATGGACGCACTGCACGGTGTTATTTTTACATCCGAGTTCATATTCTTCTCTTCCTAATAATTTACAAAATAATCCGAGTTATTTAACCAAATATAAATTTAAAGAATTTAACAAATACTTACACACGGAATATATAAGTTAATTTGAATGGACTGGTCATTATTATTTTTTTCATTATTTTTAGAATTCTTTTCATCTTTCTTGCTTTTACTAATTAATTCTAACGTATCGTCCGGAGATCGAACTTCTCCTTCAATAACAATAAGGGAAGATTCAATAATATCCGATACGCTCTTTAAAATATCTTGCAATTGTTTTTTAAGAGTTTCCGGATCTTTATTAGCAGCAATCAGAAACAGACGATCGAAGTCTACAAGCGCCTCTAGTTGATGCCATTTGGTTGCTTTAGCTTGAAATTTCCAGTCTGCTGGTTTTAATATTCCATTCGTATGGATTTCTACAGATTTACAAGTGTATCTAGAAAAATCGTAGAGAATCAAACAAGAGATAAAAGACATTTAAGGTTGAGTATGTTACAGTGTATTATACTTTTGTGTAACACTATTTAAATTTAAAATAAGATGCTCTTCATTGTTATCTCCACATAAGTATTTATTACATGATAAATTCTTTTGCATCGTTGCAAGAACAGATCTCAACTTTTGGACATTGCTATTATTATTTGTGATATCTTCCGGACCAACAATGAATGTTCCAAGGACACGCATTCCGCCAGGCAACATTCTAGTGACCTGAAAACATTAAAAACTCTATAGTCACTTGGAGCTGCAAACTTTAATGACGTTTCTTTGACTTATTATTTAAAGTAGAATGGAGGTATTAACATGTTTAGCGTGATCTGCAACCCAGCTTTCAGGTATATCTTTCACCGCTCTAATATGATTTTCGACAGCAGTATTTTGTTCAGCTTCTGTTGTGGAGCTAAGCAATGTCTCCTCCACCACATTTTTACCAAGAGGTGGTGGTGTTTTCGCTAAATGCACGATATAGTCTCTTTGACCGACGCTCTGCAATGTTAATTACAATACAATTTAAATTAGATGACACAGTGAAATCGCTGAAACATTGACAATCAGAACATCCTAACCTTTCGTCTAACGCAACAATTCCAAAAGGAGTATAAATTAAATTAAATTGCATGTATCACGACAGAGATATCTAACTAGAAATTTATGACTTTCATTCATTGAAATGAATTTCGCTAGGCGCGTTTTAGAATTACATATGTTAGAACGAATGAATACAAGGAAAGGTGACGAATGAAATTGGAACATACAAAACTCGAACCTGTCCCACAATTAGTCCTATCGTATATTCATCTGGTTTCGCCAGTGACGTCAAATAATTGTGAAGACGTTCCTCCGCGTATACAGTTCGTCCCATTGCTTTTGACGTTTCTACAAACACGTAAAAATATATCGCAACTTCCTACGATATGTGCTTACACTGTGTATCATATATGTATCACGCTTGAATCGTATACGTATATAACGTACCAGTTGAATACTTGTTACAAGTTGCGAGAGAGATGCTTTGATCTATTACGAAGAATTGGTAAGAATTTTTATTCGTGTATTCTGCAGATCGAAAGAGATGTAGAAAGAAAGCTTAGGGTGCAATAAGAATTATGCAATTGTAAAAGTTCGCAGACGGATTTTTATAATTAATTTTTTCGGCAAATAAAGATTCGATCGATTTATGGACATGTAGCGACCTCTACTTCGAAGAATTTAGATCAACGACATCTATGTTCCGTTGAGATGTGTATTTAATATAAACAATAGAATATTTAAAAATAGCTATTAATTTTATTATCACCATAGAAATGTTTACTGACACTTATATATATTGTAGCCATAGTAGAAATTCTTCATTCGTTNNGTTATTTCGTTATTTCGTCATTTAACTTTCATTATGTAATCTTCATTAAATTATTAGTAATTGTATATTTTGTGATATTGATATTTTTATATAAACAACTAAAATTAATTACGGAGTTATTATTTATTTATAGTATTGTGATATAAATATAAATATAATCACTATAGACATTGAAATGCTAGCGCCGCGTAGCGGAGAAACGGTGGAACTAATCGCTATTGTTATCCTTGTCGCGCAATACTGTCCTCTTTGTCTACTACGCTATGTGCATCTGTCCTTGTTGCGTTCATTTACGATAGAAGTAGTGCTGCCATCTATCAGATGTTCTCATTATTATCTCCTTTTAGTTTCAATTGAAATTGATAAATGGCAGAATCATCCGTAGATATGTAGGAACTGTAGTGGTAAGGCAGGATTCTGTCGAAGGTTCTCGTACAAATAAATATAATCTTTTTACAGTATATATATATAATCTTTGGTTTATTTCCTCTAGCTAATATCACAGATGTACGCTTACAAATTTTTAGTACAGAGTGTTTCTTACCAGCGGTAGTAGTAGACGAAGCGGAAGTAACGAAAATAGTAGGCCTTTTTCCTCTTCGCAACCAGGTTTTATACCCTTGTTGATTTGTGAAGAGGGAGAAAATTCTTTTCCCGCGTTTCTTCGGTTTTTCCGAGTTTTTTATTTTTTTCCAAAAAAGGTGTCGCTGCATGTTTTATTGAAAACTCACTTTGCGACGGAAAGTTGAGCGGATATAGGTGGCACTGTTTCAAATTGCGCGGAGTAGTGCTACAGATAAAGAGTGCAACAAAGAGAGATATATGCAATGTGACAGACAAAGAGAGCAATAAAGTACGACAAAGATAACAATAGCGATTAGTTACACCATTTCTCCGCTACGCGGCGCTAGCATTTCAATGTCCATAAATCGATCGAATCTTTATTTGTGGAAAAAACTAATTAAAAAAATCAGTTTGCGAACTTTTACAATTGCATAATTCTTATTATACCCTAGGTTTCTTTCCTATATCTCTTTCGATCTATAAGATGCACGAATAAAAATTCTTATGAATTCTTCGCAATAGATCGAAGCTTGCACGCTAAGAGCGATTATTTTTAAATATTTTAAAAACTTTTTGAGATGTTATCATGAGCTTTTGTCTGTCGTTATTTTCAGCAAATTTGCTTTACTTTTTAATATAAAATAATGTAAATGTAACGCTTAATTGGCTGAATTAACGATGTAGAATATTATAAATATTAATATGTAGAAATCATTATAAATATTAATGATGTAGAAATACAAGAATTGTATTTGTGAGAGATTCGGGAACGTAACGATTCCTTGTGGCTGTTTAAAAAGAAATTGTAAATTAGACTTTTCAAACATTTTACTTTATTCTCAGTTATCCTTGTTTTATGTATAACTAGGTACATGGACGTAAATCACAGCACAACTCAAGGTTGTATAAATACTTATGCATTCGTAGGGGATATATATATATATATATATATATCGTAATTACGCGACATGTCAGAAGCAACCAAAGTTCTAACAAAATCTGATGTTAAACGATCGGAGACCGGAATTCAGATCATTAAAAATTTAGCATCGTCGATTTAAAAACGTCGATAGTTTATACTCTATGTAGAATTACAGTGTACAGCGTCATTAGTAATTAGCATTATCAATTAATAATGACGATTCGCGATTGAAAGAACACTTTTGTTCATAGTCGTATGATTGTTGAGATTCTTAAATGAATTCTCGTATCAGAAGAAGAAAAATTTCGATCGGCGTGCACGAGTGTTTCAAGTAACAATTGTACAATAATTTTATATTCAAGTGGCGAGTATTATACCGAATATCCAGAAGAGGTACAGCTTTGTATTTTTTTTCGTTCTCTCTTATCGATCATCAAAGAGTTAGGCATTTCTTTTATTAAGCTCAGTAAGGAGTAAACGGCGCAACAAGAACGTTCGCAAAATAATACGTAGATTTGCGTGTACCGTATCTTCTACGTATGTACAAAAAGTTGTATATGAAATCTTCCTTAAAGATCGTAAAAAATATGTCAGAAAGAAGAGATTTCTTTTCCTTTCGGGGAATACGATTTAGGAAAAAAAGCGACGCTTGTAATTATAATTATCACTCGCGATACTTTGAACGTCGAGACATCCTGTTGTGTAATCGTCTGCTGATTATTCGATCTCGAATCGATTTACAAAAATTGTTGAATCACCTCGATGCGAACGGTAGAAATAACGATTTGAACGTTGGCACTGGACAACTTTAAAGTAATGATCGAGGGGGGAGCAATCTAAGTTTAAATTGAGTTCAAACAAAATCGCAGAAGCGAGGATTTTCAATTCCTGTGCTCGGGAAGAAGTGCTCTGATATCGTGTTTTAATCACGTGTACGATAACAAACTATTTTAACTCGCTAGCGGTCTAGTGACTATCAGTATACTATATTGTTGAATGCGCTTTCTCTACAGTTCGCCGCTAATTAGTGGTAGTCGCCGATATACATGCAGAAGTGTACAGTAAACATCTATGTTACACGCAGTGTCGCAACGTAACAATTGTAGAACATGAAAATATACAGTGGTCCATGAAAGTATCTCAACAATTCGACAGGAATACCTTCTGCGAATCACGTCAATCAGTACGAAACGCTTTGAACTTTTGTTAACAATGTTAACGAGACTCGGCTGTTATAATTACATCTATCACAATTAACCGTTTAGAATCAGCTTGAGAATGAACAAGAACTAAAAAATGTTAAAATATTTTCGTGAACCACCGTAGTTACAGTTTCTAGCGCGGAATTTTGAAACGCGTGTTTCTTAATTGTTTAAAATCTTTCGCTAGTTTGAAATTACAACTCGAGATGGTTTTGTTGAAAAATGAAAAATATTTAATACTAGTGCGTGTAAGAACATACACGATAATTTCAAAACGAAATGTACCGGCGCAATTGTCATTGAATACGCACTGGTGAGCTATTTGAGCGGACGGATAAGGGATTCTTTTTTCTTTTAGGAAAGCGAGAGAAAGTTTTTTAAACAGTTTCCTAGAAATAGTAATTTATGTTAATCCTATATAAGATACTTTCGTGAACGATACTTTAAAGCGTGACGGTAGTAATAACAGTGTTAACCGTACAATATCTTTTTAGCTTTATATAATATTACAGACATGCCGAAGATGTATTTGTACCGGTGCGCAAAAACCCTCAACTTTTGATTGTGTTACCATTACTTTGGTAAGAATAAAAGATTCAGCGAAGTAAGTGTCGAATGTTAAAATCCTACTATGAACGGCGACGAAGCGAGTCGGTCAAATCCGTAATTTCACAAGCAACGCGCGAATTGAAGTATTTAGATAAGAAGTCCTTGAATAAGAATGAAATTTTCTACGTTTCCGAACGAAACGATACTTAATATCAATTAGAAAGAATATAAAACAGCAGAATTGAAAACGATCAATTCCATTAATAGTATACTATCAGATAAGTACATTGTCTCTTTCTTCAAGCAGTGAGTGAAAAACGTCAATCGAAACGAAGTTTAAGTACGCTGTACCACGTCCATTGCAATAAAATTTCATTCGTTGATCAAAGTACAAGTTAAAGAAAAAAAAAAAAAAAAGAACGAGAGAAATACATATTTACATTGACAACATCGCTGTCGATATATCCTCTTGTAGAAAAAATAACGTTACACGGCGACGGAAAAGTCAGTTTCTAAATTAAAAGTCTTTGAGCCTTGATCGTCGAGTTTCTCTTAAACAGTATTTGCGCGAACAATCGTAAGTGAATTATAACTAAAAATATTCAACGTATATACAGGATAATTCCTTAGAAGTAGGATGTTCAATTTAATGATCCTCTTTGTCATCAAACTATGGTAAATTCAACGTTAAGAGTCCAATTTCGAATTACATTTAAATTAAATACTTATCACGAAGGTTTTGTACAGTCGAGGAGAGAAAATGAGACAAACATTTCTTTCCACCGCAGTCACTACAGTCGGGCATAAAACATTGCACGAAGAAACCTCCATCTCGATCTATCATACCAGTTTCTTCTTGTGAAACGTGTCGAGTCTCTTCGAACGAGTTTTGTTAGTCAATGATAATCGTACTAGTAGAAAACTGTTTGATATATACATTTTCTTTCATCGACGTCTTCCAAATGCACATCGGTCAACAACATTGAGCGTCGGGCAAATATATTATACACATACTCGTTGATTAGGAGGGTCGTCGTACGACTTGGAAGACTCCGCCGAAGAACGTCGAACGTCTGCAAGCTTTTTCCACACTGACAAGAAACTTAATCGTTTCCCTTTCTCTCGTTATGTTATTTGCTTCTCTTATGTTACAAGCGCGTCATTCGGTGATCTCGCCCTGAGTACAATTTTCTTCTTTCCCCCCCAAGAGATTTCAACGTTAACATTTATACATCAAAGGGATCCCACTCCTTTGAAGCTTGCTCGATCAATAATCTCTCGTCTCTTTGTCCGTCGGAGGAACCGGTTTCTTCGACGTGTCTTTCTGCGGAAAGATTCCTCTCTTAGGGAGAGTCCTTTCCGGACTAGGACTAGGACTAGGTGAGGAACTCGGTGATCTTGAACTTGAGGAACTCGAACTTGACCTCTCCCTCTTCTGTCGTTCGATACGGTTCTTGTGTTCGTACAATGGTCCGCGAATGATCTTCAGCGTGGTTTCCAATTCGTAGGCACGGTCCTTCAGGGCGTTGTACTGATTCAGATCGAAGCCAACCTTCTTTGCTCTCTTGTGAAGTGAGACCAGCTGTCGCCTGTTCATCACGTCTGGCAGCATGTATTCCTGTTAATAAATCCGACGCAATGAGGTTTATTAGAATATTTTTGGACATTTTTTCATAATGATTTTCTACCAAGTTGCAGGTCTGAAATAATTTAATAATTTTACCACGAAACTGTAGGTTTTCAATTTAATTTAATAATTTTATATGAGACTGTAGGTCTCTTAAATAATTTAACAATTTTACGTGAAAGAGAAGCGAAGATCAGGTAAGTTTCGTTAAGTTCTTACTACAAATTACGTCGATGAAGTATCTCCCGTTCATGTTTATTAGATAACGAGTTCATTTTCTTTTAGTTTGTTGATTTAAAGAAGCTGTTAACAATTGACAAACTGAACTGCTATTAGCAACCTGTCTCGTTAGGACGAAGTAGACGAACAAGGCCATCGTGGTGCCATAGTTGACGAAATATGTAACCGGTTCCATGATGTCCCACGAGTATTCCCACCAAGTTAGTCTGGCTAGGCCGCTGAATTGAATCGACATTAGGACAAGACACACCCAAATGAACATATTCGCCTTCCTTTCCGCGGTGGCATCTAACTCTCGCAGCTTCTACGACAAACAAACAACAAAAAAATCACGCATGATTAAGAAACATGGAATACATCTTTCTTTAACTTTCGTTTCGGGGAGCAGTGGCGGCTCTAACTGTTGCGGATTTCCGCCGTGATAATGTATCTGAATCTACAACTGCAATTTGTAGTAAAATTGCCGGCAGAAGGAAGCGAGAAACCATAAGGAAAAATATGTCAGTGCTCAGTGAAATCGTATTTTCCTGTTGTTAAAATATATCAAAACACTTTTCGTTCGTCGAAACGTGAAAATTCGACCAACAAATTCCATACTTTATCTCCCAAAAACGAATTTACGATATTTTCAGATTAATATAATCTGAATTTACGATCAATGTAAATATCGGTGTAAGAGCTTTAGCTTCTAATGTTAAATCATTAGATTTTTTTTACGCATTTGCAGATGATGTCCATAGGATACAGATTTTTATTTTATTTCTCACGTATTATTCGTTTATCTTTGATACAAAAATGACGGGAGAATACGAAAGGATCGAAAAATTATACTGACATTGTTTCTCGCTTCAACGAGAATTAAACAAAAACCCAGAAAAATAATTTCCCTCCTTCTACGAACACCAAGTTGTTATATACGACGCTACTGCTTCAAACTCAAGTTTCTTCAAGCGATTGAAATTTATTTTTGCTCGTGTAGAATAATTTTCTACATAGATTATCACTTGTTCTAGAACATTGTGTATCGATTATGAAAACGTTGGTATAATTTTTGTACGATCAAGCAAGAAAACAAAGAAAAAAGAGAGGAGAGTTTAATTACGCGATCGTGCAAGTGCGCACACGATGATAATTAAAGTCAAACCTCGCCGAGGATGAATTAAATTATCGTGGTGAGGAGAAAACGAATGAGAGAGGAGGAGTATGGGCGTTTAGTCGAATAATCGTGCACGCGTGCCGCGTTCCGAAGCGTCGGAGCGCTAATAACTTCAGGCAAACTTAAACTTCTTTAAACTTCCGTTTTGTCTAGATCTAGGATCGTGTTTCTGCAGACGCACGTTTATTGACGAATTGCGACCGATTAATTTGATTTGATGTTCACGGTGAATAGATTCAGCAGCGAAAGCTGCAGACGTTGTCGAGAAAGCGATAAAATCGTCTCCATCAATTTGGAGTAATTAATCGCGTTGAAAGATCTTGAGATTGCAAAGATATTCCAGATCGATATACGATCGCTTGTAGCTGAAAATTCAAAGTTTCAATTCTTTACAAGGATGAACTATTCTTAAATGTTTGCTACCAACGATGAATAATAAGATAATAAATAAAAGATTTGATAATAAAATAAGTAAGAAGATTTGATAAATTCTTACTTATCAAATCTTCTTACTTATTTCCCAAACTTTTGTATTTGCCGGAAAATTTCTAATATTCAAATAGAATAATCATTCACTTGTATATTTCAAGGAACGATTCGAGCGAAAATTGTGGTAAGATTCAAAAAAAGGAGAACTTTTCGTTTCAAATTTGATAATGTAAATGCGTGAACGACAAAGTTCACGGTAATTGAATTTTAACAATTGGAATTAAATTGAAATTGAAATTAAACAGTTGGTGATTAAAAAGTCGAGGCGAAGCTGCGCTTCCAAAAATAGTTTACCTGTTCGAGAGGTTCCAGTTCCAATCTGACCGCCTCTAACTCTGCCAATACTTGCTTTTCCATGGTGGCATAGTGCTCTCGAACCTGCAGTGTCTCGTACAGCTGACCGATTATCATTCGGACGTCCGACAATGACTCTAAATTCTCCTGGGAAAAAGAGTCGACAAAAAATTTTCGTTGAAAACAGATACGTACGTCGAAATTAAATAAAATTGTCACCAACAACACTGAATATCTGCAACTAACAGTTAATAAAGAGTCGAGTGAAACTCTCTGGAAAATTACGTGGCAATTATTATCTCTAATCGTTGAACAAAGCTGTCTATATTTCCTTAACCCCTTGACTTATAATACCGTGTCATACAAGTTGATACAAGTGAAGGTCTCGATTTAAGAGAAAAATTGTAAACCTCATGAAATTTCAACTCGAGATTTCAAATTTTAATTTCGTTCGTGCCGAACATTGAATAAATAAAAGTTAAATATAATTGAATATCTCAAATTAATTTTGCAATGAGTAATGCCTACTCCTTAAAATTAAATTTCTGTCTAGACTCACCATCGTGTGCTTGTGGTGCAGTGGCGGCGTCACTAAGTACTCCATGTCGTTTATCACCAGTCGAAAATCGTTTTCCATTAACGACTCGATCGTGTTGTTGGAACCTATCCTGATGCCGTCTGGAAAATCATCGTGCAGAATTTTTGCGCGGCGTGAGCAATCGAGACTTTGCACACAAGAGGTTCGTTGCATCTTTCGTTAATTCCTCGACAACAACTCACCGGTGGTTGTCACGGTTGCCCGATCGATGCCACGATCTTCCTTCTTCAGCATCTGAATAAGGTCTCCTACCGTGTGCGTGATTGGTTTCAGGGTAAACACGCACTGCTCCTTCCTGGATGGCAGTGGCACCGTGATCCTCGGTAATCCCCGATGATACGACACGACTACATCTGCGGCTGAAACAAATTTGACGTTTTCAGTCCGCTTCAAACGATCGACACGATCTCTGTCTGAATTGTCAAGAACATCGAACATCTCTTGTGAAAATGGAACTCTTTTTTTTTTTTTGCAATTGACTCGAAAACATGACGAAACAAAGCGCGTGAACGCATCTAATAATAATGATTTAATAGATAAAGATTCCTCGTTTTTTGTATTGAATAAAAATCACCTCACAAATGCAATAATTTTTCAATCAATGACTTGAGCCTTGACTCGAGTTGATTGAACGTTTAGTAGGCTACTTTCAAAAGTTATTTGGTTTCGTAATTTAACATAATTCTCACAACCAGCAACCGTCTATCGTTAATATATTTACGCTTACGAATTAATTTATTCGATTGGAATGAAATGTCTGTCTCGAGAACTACAAAACAGTTAATACAACTATATTATTCGTGAACGGAATAATGCAAAGTGTAACTTGTACGAACATAATAATTGTGAATATATACATATATACCTACATATGATAATCGTTAAGTTGTAATATATATACGTGTTACAAACTTTCGAAGATGCAAAATTATATGCAATTTGAAAATTGAAAATTAATGTGAAAGAGAGGTAAAAGAGTATATCGAGCTACTTTTCATCATTGAAACGACAAGGCGAGAGAGAAAAGGGGAGAGACTAATTGAATACAGTTTCTCTTTTTTTAAGTTAGATTATGCGTCTAACAACAAGAGAGTTCTTGTTACATTCTGTTCCTTTCTTTCGCGAGAAAGACGACTCTAGAGTCGCGATTGAATTGGGATTTGAAAGCTTTCCGAGCTTTTCTTGCGTCGTGTACGTTAGCTGGGGTAGAAATTGTCGCGCGCGACAGAAATGTCTATTCTCTTCGTTCGTTTTCTTCCCTCGTACTGTTTTCGTATTCCCGCACTGTCAGGCACATCTCGTAAAATCTAAATGAAGATAAAATCGTTCGCCTTCCGTGTGTCTCTGCGCGACAGATTGAATAAAAGCTTCTTAGCGATATGGAAGATAATTTTGACTTTTTAATTTTTATTTTTTATAGAGATAGGAATAAAAATAAAAGGATATGAAAGATGCTATAGAAGATAATTTTGATTTTTTATTTCTTTTCAATATACAAATAAATGGAAACTGTCTTCTTAAATGATTATAAATATTGCAGTATGATTTTCCCGATAACCTGTTATTGGGTGCAAAACCGATTCATTTTTCTCCATCGACGATAAGTAGTGTTTCGACTGTCGCAGTCAAGTGAATATTTCACGACTGATAAAATTAATTATTTTATTATTATATTTAATTATATATTAATTATTACACGTTCTATTAGAGAATTTAAATTTATTTAAATTATATATTTAATATATATTTTATTTTTTATTATATAATAAATTATATTTATTTATATATTTAAAATAATATAAATTAATATAAATTATATTTATATATTTAATATATATTTAATATATATTTATAAATTATATATTTAATATATATTTTATTTTTTATTATATTTAATGTATATTTATTTTTATATTTGTTTAATTTTTTATTATATATTTAATATATATTTATTTTTATATTTATTTAATTTTTTATTATATAAATTATATATATTTATATATTTTATATATTATTTAAATTATATATATTTACATATTTTATATATATATATATAACTATATATTATTTAAATTATATATATTTACATATTTTATATATATATAACTATATATTTATTTAAATTACAGAAAATTAAAGAGAATATCGTAATACACAGAATCAAAAAAAACTTTGCCAACTACGCGAAAGATATCAACTCTGTGCCGAGGAATTGCAAATTCGACGTAGTTAATTCCAACACGATGCTTCTCCAAGTAACAAAAGCCCGTGCTAACCAAGTCTAAGAACTTTGCCATCCAGCCAGATCAAGGGATCTACACTCGCGAAGTTAGATTTTCGGTGTTAATGGATCTCACTCGAACACTATACCCGACCATGTAATATCGTCAAATACTTGTTATCTTTCGGAGAGGAGAAGAGAAAAGAACGAACGAAGGATCGTTCGGGGAATGAAACTCGCTGTTTCCGTGAATTCGTTCGCGTGATGGCCGTATGATCGAGAGCTGGATCGCGTTAACCTGGTTAGCTACCGTTGATACGAGGAAGGTATCAGAGTGTGGAGACCGGAATGAGACGCGTGTAAGTACGTGGATCCTTCTGTTGTAAGCAGAACGGAACCGAGCGCCGCGATTCGGTTACACGATCGTTGAAAAATGCATCCACACCAAGTTGGAACACTTTGGCTGGAACTCTAGGCGTGAACCAAGAAAAATCGTTGTCAGTCAAGACTAGTCCGGAGGAGAGGGAGTTTCGTGTCGAGGAAAAGTAGAATTTCACATCGACCGGTTCTGAAGATTAAAATTCAAAGAATACGACATAAACCGTAAAGCTTGAATTTACTTTTTAAATCACTGCACTCTAAAAATTTCCATGAAAACTCGGAAATCAAGAAACCAGAGAATTGGATTTATTGGGATGATAAATCTAATGGAAGTTGATTCTCGAAGCGAAGAAAGGCTTGAATCGATGGAACTTTCGACATTAATTCAACGACATCTAAAATTTAAATTACATGGTCTGCTTAGTTCCTAATAGGAAAATAGTGGTAGCTGTCAGCTCTACTTCTGATCGTCTTGCAAAGACGCATGTGTTTAACCTGGAATAACAAACTGCCGATTCGCACGCTCGCTCGTGCATTTCTGTAAATCTTCAGAACGCAACAACGAATGCTTGGTTCGGTACGAAAAAGAGCCAAAGGAATGTCCCGGGACTTGTGCAAGCGGCAGCTTTTGAAAAGCGTATGATAGCGTGAAGCGAACACCGGAAGGAATTATGCTCGCTGGGATCGAGCAACAACCGGTCTCTCTATTGACGTTTGCGTAATAGCGAGGTTCGCGCGATTTCGACTCGAATGAAATTCATCAAATAGGAAAGCGGAGTACATTAGAAAAAAAAAATCGGAAGGTCGATATATTTCAAAAAGATTCGTCGGTTGTTCAGACTGTCGGTGAGAATGTATGCTAAACTAAAGTTATAAAAAAAACATTAAAACACACGTCACACGTGTATAGTAGCATAATTCATTCTGAATTTAATTTTGGACTTTTGGACACGCGAAGTTTGCACGAAACAGCTGGGCAACATCTCTCAGTTTCCGGTCTCGAGAGGGAAACTGCGAGGAACGTGATTCAAAGCGAGCGTCTCTCCGATAACATCGCGTTCGAAAAAGCAGTTCGATCGCAAGGAAGGAAGAAAGAGTAAAATTTCGGCTCGTTCGCCTCGACGAGGCAAATTCGCAATGTCCGACGATTAGTCCGCCCCCACGAAGTGCCGGCAGCTTGCGCTTCTTCGCCGGCGATTCGGTAGCTCGCGCTGGAAGTGGAAAAGATGCCTACCACCACCTTCTGCGGTGTGTGTCGTCCTCCCTTCTTTCCGGCTCTATGAAAAGTCCGTCGGTGGTGAAGTTCCCCGTGCCGGCCAGTCTATCTTTGGATTCTGTTCAACTAATAAGTGAACTGTGCCGCGCCGACATTGTTCTACGAGCTTCCAAAGAAAAAATAAAAAATAAAGAAGAAAGAAAAAGAAAGTATCTTCTTATCGGGCTTTTCGTCGTGAATTTTCGGTGAACGTTCTTCGCGTGGCGTGGCCTATTCAAGGATGCACGACGACTGATCGTCGGGGATCTCCCCACGGGTAGGCGAATAATAATGTATTATCTCGGTGTATGCACTCTGATTACAAGTGCATGGCAAATTTAATTTTTCTGGCAAATCTTTCTTTGTACCATTTCCGAAGTGATAAGCACGGTGTGGGAGGGGGAGGGGGGGGGAGGGGTTTGCTGAAGGTGTAAATGGAATACCTCCTCATGATGTGTTTCTATGTTAGGGTTGTGGTTTGGCAACATACTAGATGAAAGTACATCTGTTGTATACGTAACGAAACTATTCAAAAAATAATCGATCAGTTCGAAAATGTACAGTGTTGAAAAAGAAATTAAAATGATACTTTTTAGATACAAATTTTTCTCTGTCTTTACCAATGTTTAACTATTGATTTAAGAATATTTCTCTAACAATTGTATTGAAGACAAAGATGATATTTTATGCACCTTTTTCTTTTGGTGTGGTGGTGGTTCCAATGGAATTCTTACTCTGATATTCAAAATTCTTTATTCTACCTTGAAAGAAATTTCCAATTTGTAATACTTAAATATAGCGCGCGCGCGGGGTTTAATGTACTCCCCTTTCGCATTCTCAAATTTTTTAAACATGGTCTAGTTACTACTCAATATGATAATTACTAATGAAATGATAAAATTTAATACTTATTTGAACTCAAAAATTTAGAATATTAACCATTTTTCTTTGGATATAAACTTTTGGGGTCGAAACGTAGTTCCAACCCTTTCTGGAGAAAATTAACGTAGGAACAACCCTCGATTCAACTAAACAAACGGACATTTCTGTATGTTTTCTTATGTACACGTTTCATCAATTCCACCAGCGAGAAAGCGCAACTGTTGAAACGCCATCTGTTCGAGGACACGGTTACTACGTATGCAACCACTCTGCAAATTACATATGCCAAGCGCACCTTTGCAATTTGCAAATCTCATTCTTCATGTATAACGAATTTTCTTCCGCGTCACCAACACACCTCGTCTGGTTTACAATCGATTTCTTCTTCTTTCTATCCGCGAAAGAAACACGATACACGCCGGGTATAGCTTTCTCATAATGGAGTTTTACCGGAAGGAAATTCTTCACTTAAATCTACCATGAAACGCACGCTAGAAACTGAAGAACGATAAAATAAGCAAAAGCAGGGGGAAAGAGAAAAGATTCACGGTCCCGTTATCAGAGTTAAAAGTCAAATTGGCATAAAGAGTAATAATTGCCGCTCGAGGCGCAAGATAAAGAAACAACAAGCGTTGTTGATTCGCTTTATTGTTATTTATCTATGCTGTGGACTATAAACTTATGGTCAGTCGTGTGTTTAATGGAATAAAATGTCGAGGCGAGTCATTGATCGATCGACAACGCAACTGTCGTGTTCCACGAACGTATTTGACACGAGTGTAATTTACCACGTTCACACGCACAAGTATGTTTGGAGTGGAAATGTTGATTCGATGAATTTACCACAGGCCTCGTCGTTCAGGGGTCGATCATGGGCGGAGTGCAAAGCGGGACCCATACCCTTGGAGAGGCATTATGGGTGCAGGAGAGGCAACGTCAAAAATGCCATCGGTGAGTAATCTACATACTATGTACTCTATTTGATAATTTTCAAAGAGAGTTGCACGAACGGGATCGAGCAAAGATTCTCAGAGAATATTTAGAAAATATAATAGGGTGTAATTTGTTAAATAATTCGTTTAACTGAGGCAATATCGTCCCTTAAGCGAGCGGGGTTATTAGAAAATTTTCTTCCTAATTAAAACACGTGTGGCAAGACGAGAATAAGGAGATGACAAGGAGAAAACAGAGAGAGAGAGAGAGAGAGAGAGAGAGAGAGAGAGAGAGAGAAAGAGAGAGATTAAGTACAATGGAAATTAATTACACTCTAAGTTAATTGCGTTGTACAATACAGGGGCAACCACGTTGGCCCAGATTTTTAATGAACTCGAAAAATCGCCTGGTACTTCTTCACGGTGCATGAATATCAGAGCAGAAACTATATAGTGTAGCAGCGATGGCTTATAGTATATAACGAGATGATATTAATCTATTCCCTGGCTATCTTTCATTATCCACCGGAATCGTCTTCTCCGTTGCTTAAACACGAGGAATGCCAAAATGAATTATACAATGGTACAAGTATCGCGGATATCTTTTCCCGAGTATCTTTTTAGGATACTCTTCGCCGACGTTGAGGAACCGCTGCTTCAGTTCGAAAACCGTTCGATCCCGTTCGAACGAGATGCTGTCTTATGATTAGTGGATTAATTGTTAATTAGTGGAATTTCGACACGGTCAGGCTGCGCTTATTAGCAGCGGTCGTGGTCTAATTACGCCATCCTCTTTGAGACCGTTTTTGCGCGTGTTTTAAATGTTCCTGCTTTCGTCGTGTGTGTCTTCCCGTGTGAGCAACAACAGTGTCTATCTTGTCAATTCCTCATCCGTGTACGAAATATAAAAAGAAGTTAAACAAATAAATTAAAGAAAAAAGACGCTGCGGAACAGTTTTTACGGTACAAGAACAACGACCGTGTGGAAAGTTTCTTGTCGCGTTATGATCTCGTGCTTTTCCTCGATGATAATGCGGCGTATAAAATAGAAAATTTGACAAAATAGAAACTGCAGTTTCAAAGAGAGAGAGAAAGAGAGAGAGAGAGAGAAAAGTGAACTCTTTGGAAAGCAGAGCGATTTCGTACGATTTTTATAATGATCGACGCTTTGTTCGAATGCTCCGCTACCATTTTCCGACGCATGCGCATTCACTGCGAAATTGCGCGTCGTTACCGCGCTCGGTGCCGCGCGAAATTTGAAAATCAGTCAGGGAGAGAAGTTTTACTAGAGACGATAGAGATGATACAATTTCAGATACAATGTTTCATTAACTTTTCGCTCAGGATCATTGCAAATTTAACAATTTGCATATCCGGCATCTGGATTCTGAATTTCCATTTCATTTCACTTGTATCTCTACGCACCTTTCGCGAATTAGTTCGCATTAATGAATCCTTTAAACATATAGCTTGTGAAATTCACGCCGAAACGGTCAAACTTTTCTTTAAGCGGATCTATTTCATTTGATAAGTTGCACGCTCATCGTAGTTCCGCTAATTAAACGTTTCTAAAAACTCGAGAAATCCCATCTCTTCGTTCGCGATTCCGCTAACGAGTCTGTCGACTGTTTGCTTTAGGAATTTTGCCTCAGTTCCTTCAATAATTGCGACACGCGCGTGTCGTCTAAATTTAGATGTTGCGCGAAATGGATTGGATTGGCCAATAGTTCGTGAATTCCAGACGAGTTCACGCTGCTTCGATGTCCAACTGTTTCGTAGAAATTTCGAGTCGCGGCAATAATTAATACGACCGGCTATAATGAAAAGCAAATCATCGTTCCGCACTGTGATCACCGGCGCGTAATTACAACAGGAATTTCTTTCGGTTTCATACACATACTTTGTATCAGGAAACAACATTTTCATTGGGCTAGTCCAACCTAACGAAAGCGTCCTTTTGAAAATTAAAAGCGATTAAAATTGAAATATTCGAAAATCTCGGAATCAAACGTGACCGTAAATATACGACGCTAACGGTAAAAATGTTTATCTTCCATTAAAAGTAACAAGAAACGCTCGCCAATCATCGAGCTTCCATAATTTTCCGACTCGAAAACGGATCAAATTTTTTTTTTGCCATCGTCAATGGCCGATAAATTCTTTGAATATTCGAATATGTAATTTGCACGAATACTCCAAAGAAGGATTTTATGCGTGTCATGTATGCATCTCGACTGATTTTCGATGGTTTTCGCGAGATGAAAACTAAACTTTGAAAATTAAAACCGATTATAATTGACATATTCGAAATATTCGAAAAGTGACGGTAAATATACGACGCTGACGGTAAAAATGTTTATCTTTCATTAAAAGTAATAAGAAACGCTCGCCAATCATCGAGCTTCCATAATTTCCCGATTCGAAAACGGAATAAATTGGTTTTTGCCATCGTCGATGGCCGATAAATTCTTTGAATATTCGAATATGTAATTTGCACGAATACTCCAAAGAAGGATTTTATGCGTGTCACGTATGCATCTCGACTGATTTTCGATGGTTTTCGCGAGATGAAAACTAAACTTTGAAAATTAAAACCGATTATAATTGAAATATTCGAAATATTCGAAAAGTGACGGTAAATATACGACGCTGACGGTAAAAATGTTTATCTTTCATTAAAAGTAATAAGAAACGCTCGCCAATCATCGAGCTTCCATAATTTCCCGATTCGAAAACGGAATAAATTGGTTTTTGCCATCGTCGATGGCCGATAAATTCTTTGAATATTCGATATAATTTGCACGAATACGGCAAAGAAGGATTTTAAACGAAAACAGCAGAAATCAAAGATCGTGAAAAAATTAACGAACGAGCGTCGAATCGTCAATCAGCCAGGCCGAGTCGCGACGCGATCGAAACGGGGGAGGAGAGGCCGGCACAGCGGAACACGCCGGATATCCGCTTTGACGCGCGTCTCCGTCCGTTTCGCCCGATGTGCACGCACTTGTGTGCAGGACAAAGGGCGTCGTGACAAGTGTGCGTCGAAATTCGCTCGGGGTACCTGGCCTGAAAACGTTCACTTCTGTTCTGAAAACGCGGTCGGAACGGACGTCGAACGACGTTTACGTTGTCTCGTGGCTAACGTGTACGATGCCGGTGCACCATGTTCGCGGTGAAGATTGTTTACTGCCAGGTGACGATGGAATTTGTGGAGAATGCTGGAAACGCAAGGTATCACGTTCATGTTCGAGTAGCTTAGCGAAAAAAATGGTGTGAGTGACGTTAAATTTTCTTCAGAGCATTTTGTTAAAAGTTTCTTAAAAAAATCTGTGTAAGCAAGTATCTAAATATATAAAAATAGAAATACATCTTAAAAAGTTTCTTTAAAAAATCTAAGCAAGTAAATATCTAAATATATAAAGATAGAAATCTATCTTAAAAGTTTCTTAAAAAAATCTAAATAAGTATCTAAATATACAAATATAGAAATCTATCTCAAAAATTTCTTAAAAAAATCTAAGTAAGTAAGTATTTAAATATATAAATATAGAAATCTATCTTAAAAGTTTCTTAAAAAAATCTAAGCAAATAAGTATCTAAATATATAAATATAGAAATCTATCTTAAAAGTTTCTTAAAAAAATCTAAATAAGTAAGTATTTAAATATGTAAATATAGAAATCTTAAAAGTTTCTTAAAAAAACCTAAGCAAATAAGTATCTAAAAATATAAATATAGAAATCTATCTTAAAAGTTTCTTAAAAAAACCTAAGCAAATAAGTATCTAAATATATAAATATAGAAATCTATTTATATCGGATTTATCTGAAAAAACTCGTGAAACGTTTGAAACGTGAGACTTTCTATTTGAGTTTAATTTTATTCGCAAATTTAGCTGCTGTTTTACACAGATTGAAGATTTTATCTTAACTTGCACCATTTTTTCTCCGAGATTATCGCTTGGATATTAATTGTTTCTTTTCTAAAAGTACGTTAGTGCTTTTCTCTTATTAGCGAAAACATAGGATCTCGAACGTTGACGAAAATCAAGAAAATCCGTTTCTTCTTGATTTGAAACGCGTATCTGAGCAGCGTATGGAAAAGAAACTGTTCAGATTTTTAATTATTAAATTGAAAGCGGTGTGTTATTAAGTGTTTTCGATGCTTTCGCTTTTATCGGCGATGTCTGTTGCCGATCGGGGGTTGTTAGAAATCGTGTTAACGAGCGTGAAAACGGATTAGACGGAATCGAGATCCAGGTATGTCGATCGAGAGATATCATCGAGTGAAAATGGGAAACGTGCGAGTTAGGAGAGAAACATTTTTTTTTGGGAGTGATTTTCTTCTTTTATAAAAGATTCATATTGGTCGAACAACAATTATTTCCAGCAGTAAGGAAAAACACATTTTTGTAATTGAGAAATGAAAAAAAGATCTCTTTCCTTTGATAGCTAACAGTCCAGAACACAATTATTCACAGAGAGAACAGCATTTTTTTTTACAATCGAATGCTTTCGTAATTAGAAATTTTATTGTAAATGATTCTCTGCAAATTGAAATTGTTAAAGTTTCTTCCATAAATTCCATTCTCCTTCGTTCTATATTTTCCCTTCTACGCGCGAAAGATACTTTTCCTCGATAAAGAAAATTCCTTGACGTCCGATAAAAAAATCAGCTGAAAAAACAGTTTTAGTCGAAAGTATTGGTATTTCTTCGATCCGTTATCGGCTCGTATGATACTCTTTTGCGAGAACAGGAACATAGCCCTCATTGTGCAATATCCTGTCTCTATAGTGGTTCTGTTTCCTGACCTTCCCGAAGTCAGGAGGAATCACGCGACGACGAGCAACTAATGCTGCTTTCCACTTTGTCTAAACAAAAAACTGCGCCACTGTATCTCTGAAACAGATCGCGATTATCTGTCACTTGTTCGTCCCCTATTTATTCGAAAAACGTTTCGATTACAATTAATTGAGTTTTCGGGAAGTTGTAGTATTTCAACGATGAATAATCTGGAAAATAAATGGACGTGATAAAGCGTGCGACGCTCGCAGAGAGGGTATTCTATTATTCAACAGCTCACAAATAGTTCGCGAAGTTCGGAAACTGAGACCTCGTGGTTCAAAAGCGCGCTAGGAAGCTATTTTTCATCGAAGATGATAAAATTGGAGCGCTAATTGCGAAATAACTCACGGCATACTGCGCGAGAATTGTTAGAAAATCGTATTCATCTTTCACGATGTTCTGCCTTTAATAGCAGTTTTCTTATTGCGCAAAGTTATGGCAAATTTTCTGAAATTTTCTGAAAATTCTCACCCAATATCTGCACAACAAAGAAGTTCCCTGCAATTTGTGATTTGTGTAAAGTTTCAATTGACAGTGGAACGTAAAATAGAGATCAACTGAACATAAGTCTTTCTCTGAATGACAAAGAACAAAGAATCGGTCCTAAAAACTAATACACTTTCCGAAACAGTCTAACCTTTATAATAAATTGTAAGATTTAACTTCAAGTCGCTAGTAACTCATACAAGTGGTATGATGCGACTTTAAATAATGGAAATAAAAAAAAAAAAAAAAATGAAATAACATTTTACTCGATAACCAGACACAGAAAACTTGATGTTTTCTCAAAATCTATCTCGTGACGGTCGATTGATTTGCGATCAATTTGTGGCCAACAAATCGCCGAAGATTTCCGCTTACGTAATAATGGAATCGTTACACGCACGGATGTATCCTGTTCTTCTCTCTCTCCCTCTCTCTCTCCTTTTTTTCTCGTTTTCGCGGCGAGCACGAAAAGTTACGTAAAGAAGGCAGCGAGCCACGAAGCGTGGAAATATTAAAATTGATGTCCAAATTGATTAGGTAAGAGTAGTTCTTCGATCGAATAGAATCCCTTGATTGCATCGAGCAGTCCACTCTCGTTTCTTCTTCGTAGTTTTACGCTTTTTTCTCCTCCCTAACTTTTACTCCTTCATCCTCGTTGAAACTCCGTACGCACAGTTGAAAAACAGTGTTTCTTAGATTCGCGTAATTTCCTACTGTTATCTTTCACTGTACGTAAGGTTCAATTATAGGGAAATCTCTAAATTCTTAATTATAATGACGATATATATGTACGAAAGAGAACAGACACGTAAACATAAGTTCATCATGACAGGGAGAAGATTAGACACTCTTCTGAATGACGTACCACGCATTGTGTCTCCAAAATTGCAATATTTTCTCAGTTTTAATTATATTTAAGTACAACGTGGACGAAACAAATAATAAATTTATTACTTCTCAATAATTTCTATCCAGTGACATCGTACCGACGAGCACAAAAAGAAAGCGACGAATTATTGCATACGATTTGGTCACTCGTTATGGTCCGCGAATCAGTTGCCAGCGCAACTGAATAAAGACGGAGAAGAGTGAACTCTGAATGGAGGATACAGGGAAGGGAAGTAGGAAAATTGAACGTCTTAATTCGAACGAACTGTCTATAAATAACCTAACGTTGTTAATAATTTTACGCAACTGTCTGTGACATACCAGAATCGCGGAAAGTTTGCGATAAACGATCGCGACCATCGAGGAAATCGTCGTCGGTTGGCGGTTCGCGAACCGCAGCCTCCGCTCGAATCTCTTCCGGTGCTCGATCCCTCTATCGAAAGCGATTCCAATCGATGGCGTCAACGACCCTGCATCGAATTACCACGTACCACTCGAGTTACTTGTCACTTTCACGAATTGGACTCCTCTCGTTTTCCGCGGGCAATGAAATTCACGATTATCCACACGAGCTTAGAAAAATCTCTAATTAAAAGCAATCTCATGACATTTCGTTGGAATATTCGTTATTTCTCCGTTATTGTGTGTTAGTATATTAGTACATTAAGATACAGCAAGATTAATCAGTGTAATTTCTATGAAATTATGAAACTATTCGTAACTGCAATTTAGAGAATGCTAACTATGAAATATATGTTCGAGAAATTCTCTGCAAAATAAATAAACGAGATAAGATGACTTCTATGAAATACCGTAGGAAATTTTTGAATATTTCTGTGAACGGCTCGTCGTAGACAAAGTGTTCATCACGCAAGTTACCAACGATTAATATTATGAATCATTCCACCTGGGTCCCAGGTGATTCAGGCGTTTCCTGGCGAACAAACCGAGGGAGAATGTTTACTCCGGTTCGCACGGGATTCACGCTATTGTTTCGTTACGAGGACGAAACGGTATCCTTGGTAACTTCGTGATTCACCATCGAAGGGTAGAAAAGAGGGGATGAAATTAAACCAGCCATTCTTCAGTGAAACGTCAACTGCGAATCGCGAAACGTCAGGCGACGTATTTTTCCTGGAAGTGTCTTTCAAAATTTTATACACGTGCGTTGCGTCGCCCAGTAAGGTAAATTCTTCCCGTGTGTAAACTTCTCCATCGAATTTCACGCGAATTATTCAGCAAAGTGACAGAAATGAATATTTCACCGAATTTCTTATCGATCGTAATGTAATATTCACGATCGATCATCGCCGTTTCCCTTGCACTCTGACGTGTGCCTTCGACGAGGAAACGCACGGAAACGCGGATAACGCATTAACTCGTCAGAGAAAGCGTGCTGCAGCAAGCGTTGAAACACGGTGGCTGAATGCTGCATCGTTAACGTGCATGTGCAGTGTTTTTTCTTTTCTTCTTCCTTTTTTTTTCTTCTTGCCGCGGACACTGGCAGTACACGGTCATCCTTTTATCGGGAACGTTTCTCCAAACAGACGGCAATTTCACATTCGTCAATCCCGGCATTTCGATGATCGAGAGATCCCCTCGTATTTTCTTTTCATTCCCTTAGAAAGAGAGAAAGCTCGAAGTGCAGTCACTGGTATAAGTGAACTTCGTGAGAACTTCTAATCTTCTCACGTTTGATATTGCACCAATGTGAGAAAACGTACTTCGTTCTTGGGTGCAATTATGAGTGTATCTGTCGTGGAAAAATTAATTGACAAAAAGAAAATGATGAAAGAAATTGTTATGCAAAATACACGCAAAACAGTTTTATCGGCTTTCCAGTAACAGTCGAACGATCATCGCGTTTACTTTTCCGTAGTATGCGCGAATAGTGTAAAAATGTCCCGAGAGGGAAACGAGCGGCGCGTGAAACGCGAGCCCGGAGGAAAGGGGCGAAAATAAAAGCTGGCCGATCGTTAGGAAAGTATGGTATCGTGCGTATCCAGGTGACTCGAGTGTAAGTGGTACCTAGGCCAAGCGCCATGGTCACTTTCTTCTTCGTGGTCTCGTGTGACATTGCGTTCGCGACTCGTTGAACATGAAACGAGAAACGAGACGGATTGCACTCTCGAGGAATTGCACTCTTTCGTGCAAAGGAGAGCTTTTTCACGGCGATTGTTTCTTTTTTTTTTTTTTTTTGAAAACTCTTCTCTCTACACGACTCTGTTGAAAATTTATGTTACGAGTATTTATATAAAGTTTATATTTGAAATTTCTTACGGACGCGTAAAAAATAAACATTTTTCTCGGGGGGAATAAATATTCGTTTTCGTCAAAATTTGCATAAGTATTAAACACGACGCAAAATTTGCATAAGTATTAAAGTGAATTTGCGACGCACGTAAATATCGTGGAAACTCATAAATGTCAAATGCAAGAATATTGAAATGATAACACGTAGCTAACCTGTTTACTGCTCGAAAAAATTCGCATAAATATCTGTCTAAGAGTGCAACAAAAAGTGGAGTAAAAAAATTCGACGGACAAGTTTGAAAATACGAATGATTTACGCGCTTAATTCTCCTGCCTCTCAATAGGGCAGTTAGAACGTCTCGTTAAAGATTCCTAATCGTCAATTGCTCGTGGCAAGCTAGCTGGATGCGTTAATAAACATCGAGGAAAATTCAGCTTAATTTGAGGACAACCTCTGATTTATCTTTACTTTATAGGATCCGATAAAACCGCGTAAATGTTTAAAACGCTCTGCTAACCCCGCGTGCCCTTTCGATGGAAGATTCACGGTGCGAAGTTTCTCCTCGTCTCACCGGCGTTGCAGTGCGAGAAACGAAGACAGGTCCCCATTGAAATATTCAAATCGGTCGACTGAAATTTCAGGCACACTGTGTGTCACGGCCGAATTATCCCGATAAAACAGCCGATGAATTTTTAATCCGACGGCAGCGTGTTTGCGTGGAGAATTCGCTCTTGCTTATATCGTGCCGGATATAAAACAGACTGTCCTTGACACGAGCTCTGTTCCTTTAAATCTTCCGGGAGTTGCGCGGCAAGTGGAAAAACAGATCCAAATTTCTCCTTTCGAGACGTCCTCGAGGTGGAATTCCACGAATCGAGAGATATTTTCTGTATTTCCGCGAGATGGAACTTTGGCCAGTGACGCGAATTGATTTGTTGAACGTTATAATGTACGTATAGCAAATCCCGCTGGCGAAATGGCAACTGAGGATCACGACTGAACCTGACTTGTCAGAAAATATCTTTCGGTTTCACGTCGCGCGAGGATTTAAGAATTTCGCGAATCACTGGCACAGCGCGATTGAAAAGAAAAAAAGTTATTTCTATGCGACGAAACAGTAGAGAGTACAGAGATCTAACTCGAGGTTTGCGAATTCGTGTAACGTGCCATGTAAATAAGATTTCCGTGCGACGCATTTTGAAACGAGCGTACGAGCGTCACGCGCGTGATTTACTTACGTACGATTGTAATTGACACTGTGATTTAACACGGTTAGCATACATCAAGCTTGAGAAAAAATACTGTGCGACATTGAACTTTTCTCTCTCTCTCTCTCTTCGACGAGAATGTTTTTCCTCGATGATTTATCCGAAGCTGAAATCTGCCCCGAGGAACTTGGAACTTTGTTCCAAGAATTCTCAGCCGATCTTTCTTTTTTCCCTATCTTCTGGCTGTTTTTCACGATTCTTACGTAGATATATATAATCTCGAGAAGGAGCAACGATACACGTCATTTTTGGTTGATAAAAATAAAATACCAAGAAGGTGCTATAGGTTAACTCGTTGACCTCTTGCGCTAGTACTGGTTCGCGGACCATAACGAGTGACCTCGTCTTCTTTTTGAATTCATCGGTACCAAGAAGTACTAAATTTATTATTTGCCTGGATTATATTTGAACATACTTAAAACTGAGGAAATATTGCAATTTTGAGCGAAATATTCTCGGCGTGCGTGGCCTTTTTTCGTCATTTCAACGCAAGAGGTTAACTCATTTCTTGCGTTCAATCGTTCGAATCGCTGGACTGGCTGGTCCATGTTAAATTCTGGCAAATATGGCACACGGTCGTTGCCACCTGGCCCTCGGATTTTGCGAGGACGATTTTATCTTGAGCAGAGAAACCTTCGAGGTCTTCGACATTGGGGCCATTGTTGCAAACGCCCCTGACACGTCATCCTCGATGCTCGGAATAATAACGCTCGTCCATTGTCCTGCGGGGGCGTTTGTTTTTGCTTTTCAACAATTGCGAAACAGCCTATTATATGTTAAACGCTTTGACACGGACTGAAATTCGCTCGGGAAAGGGGGAAGAGGGGAGGAATTCTTGGAAACCGCCGCGAGTCACTTACATCGGTAATTAAACATTTCTCGACGAGATAATGCTTGTTGTAATTCGCGAGATCTCTGGCACACGTAAGGTTTTCTGGAGTCTTCTAAGAACTCGAAGAACTCGCTTTCGTCATCGTATTTTCAATCAGTATTTTCAAAGAGCGGGTGCTTTCTCTTTCAGTTTATGGTGTCGTTTAGCCAACAAGATTACCGGTGTCCTTTTTTTTCTTTTTTTTAATACCATAATTTCTTATCACTCTTACGTTATCTTTAGTAGAATCATTTTCTGCACTTCTGTGCATTTTTTTTTCTTTGATATCTTTTATTTATTATTCGTATAAAAAAAATTGAGACAAGAGATAAGAGACGATAGAACGAAATTTAATTGTTGCACTGAATATTCATCAATCCATCTTCGCTCTCCTTATCACTTTAATTTAGAATCTTCGTTAAACTACGAAGATCACTTTTCTCTCTCTCTCTCTCTCTCTCTCTCTCTCTCTCTCTCGAAAAAATACATTTTCCAGTAAATCTCCCGCGGACGATCTTGTTATCCAAGGGAAATTACAATCTGCCAATTTACCGAGCAGATAGGAAGAGACCAACGGATCGGAGGTGGCAATTTCCAAGTGAAACTCATTACAGGCTTTAAACCCCCGGGGCTTTAAATTGGATTTCAAAACCTACGATAGAGAGAAAAAAAAAGAAACTACGCTTGTCCGCGATTTTCACTTTCTCGCGTTCGATTGTCCACTTACTGCGAGAGTTTCAGAAGAACCGAAGAATCGGTTGAAGAATGAAGAAGGTGAAGGCTGCCGATCGTGAAAAATCCGCGATCGACAGTTTCGTAACTCGTCTCGCTTGCTTCCGAGTCGACGGATCAATGACGTCACGATCTAAGGCTAAGGTGTACCACTCCACTCCCACTACGAGTGAACAATCCGAGGCGGAGACACCGGTTAGACGATGTCCTGTCGAGGGAACAGGTGGTACAGTGGCGATCGGCCAGCCAGGTACAACGATATTCGCCAGTCGATCCGCGAGCGAGAAAGTGAAAAGCCGGCGCGATCGTTCTTAGATCCGAATCGATCGTACGTCGCGGACGATAGAAACTTGTCACTCGCGACAATTTCACTCTCGGGACTCGATTCACTTCACTTCAGAAGTTTCGCTGCCTGAGAGTTTCGCGCGAGTGTCTTTTACTGTAACGATCAGGATCGTTGTCCTCTTCACGTTGAAAAGAGGAACAATCGGAGGACCAGACGGGTAAGAGGAAAAGATACGTTTGTATTGTAAAGAATCGACGATGCGTTGAATTTTCGAGTAGGTTGAACAGGACGAGTATCTTGTCTTGAAAACGTTATTCAATTTTATTTAAAACGAAAATTAGACATGGATTGCTTCTTTATTGATCTGCGTCAGGTTTGTCAACTCCTCTGACCGCTGGTGTAAAAAGGCGAGCAGGTAGAAATTATTCCAATTACGCGAATGAAATTTGTGTAATTGATATTCAAGAGTCTTCTCAGTTACTGTGACGTTTCGAGCGAGCGAAAAAACCAGATACATACATACATTTCAATTTTCAATACCGTACCTTACAGAGATCCTTGAGTCATCTTTCTATCGATCTAAATGATATTGAAATTGACATTTCGATAGATAAGAGCAAACTAGTTCCAACTTTTTAAAAGAAAGAATCAATCTGCTTAATGTGTTTATTTTCGCTTGCTTCTACGCTCGTTTCATCAAGTATATTCCTAGCTACTGAATACCTCGTTGCACGAGGGAGAAGAAAGTTTCATCCAAAGGTTTTGTAACGCGTCAATGCCCTACGCCCTATTAATACTGCGCGCTCGGCAACTCTGAATTTTCAGCGGCTCGTATAAGCAGTGGATCCACAGGAAAGGAACGCAGCGCGATATTTTCGACAAGCCAGTCCAATTACGTAATCCACAGTCTAGGCTACAAGTACGTAAATATCGCGGTTATTATGTTCGAAACTATTAATTCTACAAGATCATTAGTCACGGGTCTTTCAGCTCGCGAGCAACGATGGTTCTTTTTCACACCGATAATTATGCAATTTGCATATTCGATATCGACCGAGAGATTTTTTTTTTTATTTGAATCAAGGTCACTCGGTCAGAAAAAAAGAAGAACTGACGTCAGAACTGACGGCTGTCTCTTTTTTTTCTTTCCTTCTTTTTCTTTCGCCAGTGACGTTTTTATCTCTGGCGAAACTTCAACGCCGCCAATCGATTATCGTTGTTTCGCACTTTTCAGCTAACGCGCGTTAATTCGCGGCCATTAAGGCGCTCGCTGGTGACGGGAGATGCGAAATTGTGTGGCGCGATGCTAACTACGACACGGTGATTCGCCTTTAAATTTAAATCCAATGCAGATTAGTGATTCAGCGTTCCTGCAATTTCGCGTCGATAATTTATGGTAATTTCCCGATTTGCGTGCTTACATCAGATTTTGTTAAATTTACAGCACGCTGTTAATAACTATTATTTACGATTATCGTATTGTACGGTGGAAATTGTGTAATTGTATCAATAATATATGATAATTTATAACAACGTCGTAACCCTTTTCGTCATTTTTAACCTCTTGCGCTGGAATGACGTGCCACGCACGTCGAGAATTTTCTCTCCCAAAATTGCAATATTTTCTCAGTTCTATATTTCAGTATAACCCAGACAAATAATACATTTGCTAAATCACTCCTCAACAATTTCTATCCAGTGATATCATACCGACGAGTTCAAAAAGAAAGCGACGAGTCATTGTATTACCGTTTGGTCACTCGTTATGGTCCGCAATCAGCTGCCAGCGCAAGTGATTAA